GGAGGACGGGGTGCACGTTCCCTCAAAAGCCAGACTTCCACTGATGTCCAGCCTGTGTTATATGGGACTATTGCTTTTTTTTTTTTTTTTAATGGTTGCCTCTATATCCCTCCCCTGCTATCTGCATCGAGCATTCTGTAACACTGTGTTCAGTCTGTCCTGTTTCAGGAGCCCCATGTGGTTGATGTCGTGCAAAAGCCTCTAGCTTCATGAATCCGTATTGTAAAGAGACATTAGCTGTGACTGAAATGTGCTCGTTTACTTGTGTTTTTTCATTATAATTCCACAGTGCCAAATGATTTGACTTTTTCCACATAAACTGGAAGTTCACACGTGTTCTTAAGGCTGATAAATTAAAAAGAACAAAATTTTAACTCGGCGACTCTTCATACTTCACTGCAATATTTGACTTTTCTACCAGTGTCCATCAAATACCCACAAATACATAATTCATACCACATTTGGGGGGCGGGTGGAACCACACAGCCATGATGTGTTGAACTGGTTCTTAAGGCACAAACACGGGATACATGCACGTGAATGGTCACGATTATTTAAAGGGTACTCACACACAGTTTTGTATTCAAACCAGGATTCCCCTCTTGTACGACATTCTTTTTGAACAATATGCCATCTTATACTGGGGAAAAAAAAATTTAAATTAGACTAATGGTAACCAAATGGGCTGTTTACTTTCATGATTTAATGCAAGTAGTCTGCAGAAAAGCCTTTTGCAAAAAGGTAATGAGTATCGTCCCCGCATACAGTGCAGGCCGCTTAGTGCGCTCATTAGTAGAAGGGGGTCCTGACTGGTGCCCCAGTGCTGCCCAGTAATCTCCCCGTGGCTCTGCAGGGCCTCTGACTGGATGCTGCATGTTCCTGGATTTCAATTGCATGCCCGCAGGAGGTCGTTTTTCTCAGTTATGGGATTAGTGGTTGCTCTTCATGGTGATCATTAGAGAGACCTGAAAATTAGGCTGATCCTTTATCCCCAACTGTGCGGCCGGTGTATGGTACGGCTGCCATTGGCAGACATCGATCAGAGGGAGGCTGGAAGCTGGCCCTGCCCCGCCTTCTCAGAAAGAAGACACCAGCCCCCATTCCCTGTCCAAATGTAATATAGACCCCAGTGTCCAACCGCACAGTACACATCTTCCTGTTTATGGGATGCCTTTCCCACTCATTTATAATTAGCAGTCATTTGCCCTGTGGTTCAGAGACATATTTGGGTAACACTTTACTTGACAGCACACAAATAATACAGCTTTATGCTATTACTCATGTATTAATTATCCAAACTAGGAACTACACTAAGTCTTACATACTGATCTGATCTTAATTGATTGTTAATGAATGGTGATGCATGTTTTATCTCAAGCAGTTACTATATTTGTTACTATATCTGTTAATTCTGTAAACCTTTGTGAACTACTGAAGGAAGTATTGAAGGAACGAATAACTCGTTAAACACTTATCATGTTTGTTTATCATTAATGAATCATGATGCATCTTTTATCCCAAGCAGTCACTGTATGTTACTATATCTGTTAATTCTGTTTACCTTTGTAAACTACTGAAGGAAGTACTCATGAACTACTGAAGGAACTAATGAATAACAAGTGAAATACTGATCTCATTTATGTTTATCATTACTGAACCGTGACACATCTTTTATCTCAAGTAGTGACTATATTTGTTCATGATTTGTACTTCAGTAGTAACTGGAGTTATTACTAAGTAATTGTGCCCCATCATGTAAAGTGTTACCCATATTTGATTGGTAACTCAAAATGCTAATATTTCCTTTTGTATATATTACACCACACAGAAATCATTGCCAAGGAAACATGATATTTATGACAATTCTAGTCTTAGAGCTTTTTAAACAGAACACGTCATAATTCAAAGCACACTTGCGGCCCGCACCATTTAACGCTAAACAAGAACAAATTTTAATAATTTATTATTAGCATTATGCTAATTAAACTTTGTGTGAATTTGAAAGTTGGGGGGATGTAATTAACAACTTGTTTGGGTCTTTTTTCCAGCAGTGTTTTTAAGGTTTCACACAGATGCATTTTGAAAAGGGCCACATTGCTGATTGGACCGGATCACACTCCATGACAGCTGGTTCATTCGCTACTCAAGTTGACAGATGGCAAAACACAAACACAAAAAAGATGGAGCCATGATTAAGTACAGGGAGTGTTTACAGTCACGTAGAATCGGGTATGTTTTTCACAAAATTTTGTTATAGAATAGATATTTTTGCTTGAAGTTAAACTGTGAATCATTTTCATTATTTTTGCAAAAGGGACACAACTAATTAGTGACTGACAGAATTTTTCTTCATTTTGTTTTTGGATTTGCCTTATTAAATTTTATCACAATTGTTAGTGTCCTCTTGGAACTGTTTTGGATATATGGCTTAGAAGAGCAGGTTGTTGCCTTATGGTTTGGTTCAGTAACTGAATGCCCAGTCACATAAACTTGAGAATGACAGACTGCTTTTGGCTTTTGGTCCTCGACCAGCATCTCTTCCCTGAGCAGGAAGCAAGGTGAGTGCAAATTTTGGCTATGGTTTGCCCCTAGATGGGTGCTGGTGTTCTAAGCACCAGCATGGCAGTTGGCAGAAGGGGGAACTGGGGGAGGAGGGAAGACTGGGTGATGAGCCTGATTATCCTGGGATTGGTGCAGTCATGGAGGACCTGGCCAGACCCATGTTAAAGAGCCTTATCTGCATAATGAAGACACAGGCCTGTTTTGTCACTGTTTTTCTTCACTTGGCATTGGGAGTTCTTTTTTAAAAGTGAAAATCGCTGTGTTTAACATACGACGTATAAAGAAGTTCTTTAATTTTTCATCATGTTCTGCAAATTTTTATTGGTTTCATATGCAATGACATAAGATCAAAAAGGAACAGGCTGGTGTGGTTGATAAGGATTCACACGGCTTTGAATTTAATTAGTTCTGCTAAAAGCATCAAAGCAATTTTGACATTAAGTAGTAAATCAGCAGTCGCATTAAAAGAAGATGTAATATACATTTCTCCTGACAGAAAATTCTACTGTGAGAATAGTGTGATCAATTAGCAGCAACAAATGTCAAACTTAATGAATTTACACACTCAAGAGTCTGTTACCTTTAACATTTTAGATTTTTCTCCATTTTTACAAAAAGGGTGCTGCTTTTGGGAACATAGAGTCCAGTTCACATTGTCTTACATGCTGGATTTTAATGATTTCCATTATGTTTCTATCATAGTGATAGTTCAATTATACTTTGAACTGATATGAAGAACTGTTATGTATAATCCTCAAATGTAACGTTCTAACATTTTTTAAGGTTTGTGTATTGTGGAACAGTGGATATGCTATTATAACAGATTTGTATTGGTCTATTAAGCACCATTCCATGTAATTAATTAACATCAATTTGGGAAATAGATATCCAAGTGGAATTTCAGGTACAGTAGATAGTGGTACAGCTACTTGTACAGTACAGTGCCTATTTGTAACCAAAACTAATAGATCAACCAATTCAGGAGTTTAAAAAAACCCTCTTCTAATCCAGAACTGCTGGAAAGCCCACTTATTTCAAATTTTGTAAATAATCACCAAAATTTCTTAAACTTCATAGGCATATATATACCAAAAAGAGAAATATTCATTATTACGGAAGGACAAAGTTTTTCATTAGAAAATATGCATGGAATTCATTATCACAAAACTATGTTCAGGTGATTTGTTTGGAGTTTAATTTACAGAATTTTCAGCTGGTTAGGTAGGTCAGCAACAGGAGCGATGAATTAGCTGTTCAAAATGGAAGTCAAGTGCAATGATTTACTATCACAATAAGGATTCTCTTTAATTATGTTTTAACATAATTTGAAGGCGGTGATATTAATATACTTTGGGGCTTCTAGTTCATCTTGTTCTGAACACTCTAAGCATAAAAATAGGGCAGTGTTGTACGCTATTTAACTTATATATTCCCAAAATATGAATACACATTTTTAATTAATAATGTTTAAATGTCGTACCATTGCACATTCCCAATAGATCCAAGTCCCTCTGGAGTGAGTATAACAAAAATAATCCCCCCCCCCACCCCCATGCTTACAGTTTAACGTTTACCTTGGAATGTAGGTGTGATGTAAATCAAAGAGCGTTTTCCCTGTTCCTGACAGTCTATTATAAGGCTGTATAGATTATGCTTAAAATAGCACGCTGTTCTTAAAGGACACGTAAATCTCACCCTTTATTGTTGTAATTTAAAAAAAATCCTTATCCTTAAAACAACTGCATCGCCTTAAACGCATGCATTTGTCACTATAAAGACACTGTCCTCTTGAATCTTAAATTATTCTTTGTTTCTTCCGATCATTTAAACCTGCCAAAATACTTGTTTATTGCATTACTTGTAATAAAATGCGCACGGATACTGCTCTAAATGTAATCTTTATTCGAAACCAGTATAGGTATTTTTTAACATATTTCCCTCATTAAAATCATTTGTATCATTTTTTTCTGAGACTTATACGGTTCTGGAGATTTTAGATCTTCGCGCTACCTGTCTCTGCGTCTCATCAATATATTAGTTATTTATTTTTTCCACCCAGCAACGTTTCACGGTGGTCTCCTCACTGGGAAAAAAATATATAATTTCCCTATGATCACCCTATGAGTACATATAGCGGCAAGACTTGGCTGCAAACATTTGAGATAGAGTGAAGAAGGGGGAGGGTACTACTTTGTCACAGGCTGCTATGTAGATTAACCTTTCAATTAGCTAGCTAGCTAGTTGTTATCAGGTCTATTCTGCCTGAGCGCGAGCTGTCGCGTGCGTCCCTTTATTAAATACAACAAAGTCTTGGGATTGATTTCCTTCCTGTAATTATTCCTCATCGTTTCAATTACTGCGTTTGCGAAGAGGAGAGAAGAAACCTCGAGAAAAAAAAAACTTGAAAAGGTAACAAGCTAGCAAGCAGCAATGTTAGCTGCAGGCATTTTCTTGTTGTGGCTTCCTTTTTTTGTCTTGCATTTAAATAGAGCCGATCGTTGTTATTGGACCGATATTTAAGGAATACCTAATCGTTTAGGCATCGGAAATAATTGCATTTGGGTTCAAAATTAAACCGCGCTGGAAAAGACATTTGTAACGTGAAATAACTATCGAGGCAGCAAATAGCGTGATGAGCGCTGGATATTCCGTCGGATTACTGGCATTTTCTTTTTTTTTCCGCTAATACTGTCATTAGAATTTTTGGATATGGAAAGTTGGGTGAACATGTTTAAATCTACATTTCGCTGTGTTGTTACTCACTTCGATTCCTCGGGGTCGCCTCGCTAAGTTGTTACCTTAATGCACAATGCGTGCAGCTACCCAACTATTATTTTGCAGGAGTGTGATGTAACGGCAAAGCCAACACAGACATGCAGGCTATCTTGGTCGGCTAACAAAATACTATACGAGAGAAAGAATACCGCTAGCTTGCTAAACAGCTATGTGTCTACGTTTTGCAACTGTGTAATTATCCAAGAAGACTATGTACTTGGATAACTGCTTTCATACGTGTTCCTGAACAGAATGTGACACGACCAGTTTTACTGCTCAGCGGCAACTTTATAAAAAATAATTTAAAGAAACGATTCGACAGACTCGTGAAATAAACGATGGAAGTCAAATTGTACGTCGCTAACTAGTTAGCTTCCCCGGTGTCAACCAATCCTTTCGAGGAGGAGTTTGTTGAAAGGTGGAGTGCTGCCTGGTGTTGCTCTATTTGCCAAATCATTGACCCTTCAAAACATAACCGCTTAGATTTGCTCGGTGCCTATGCATTCGGGCGATTATTAAGTATTTGGAGGATAACTCATACGGATCTAGCGTCCTTCACATGCGAAAGATGCAAGGGGTCTCGGTGGTATGGGATGTGACTGGCGCTTGGTAATAATAATTGCTAAGTAGTTACCTTAAAAGGCGGGGCAATTGAATATCAGTAGCAGGTCGAAATAGCCAATAAACTCTTTTTAAGGGGGAGCGAGAGCCTATTTTCGATGATTGACGTGCTCTTTATCAAATCAGAAATCGATTTTTTCTGCCTTTACAACCAATATTAAAGTTGCGAGGGAGGGCGCATCGCGGTGAAGGTAAGGTTTAATGAGACTCCATTGGGTTGTAATCAGTGTCATGTCGGATTCATGTAAACTACAACATTGTAACAAAATGGCGTCTGTTAGGTACCACCAGCGGCAGGCAACAGCGCAGCCCTCAGCCACTCACACGCTAGAAGTCAAGGTTTGTGATTTGCCTTTCGTTTACCGAAGTCACAGGTTAATTGGACGATTAACTCGCCGTCATAAATTATCCGCAAGCGTCCCTCGGAGGCTGTCATAAATGTTTGCCTCGAGTTCGGAGTTAGCGGCGGCTAGCTAGCCATCTTGGAGCTGCTATCTGACGTCTGACTAAGCTAGGTATCCAGCAATTAATTTTAGCAACTTTGACAGCTATTTTTTTTTTTTTTTTTTAAAGTGAAAACGATTTTTGGCGCCGGAGGGGGAGTTTGTTTTATTTATGTAGGTAATGTTTAAAAGTTGAGTTTGGGAGGAAAAAGGTTAGCGAATATTTCCTAGTAAGCAGAACTGTCAACCTACGATGTCGGTGACACGAACTATAAGTACATAAATGATCGGCGCAGTTAAAGGTTTCTCTTTAGCTGTGGTGACATGATTTATTATTATTATTATTATTATTATTATTATTATTATTATTATTATTATATCAACGCTGTGAGGATTTCATGGCATGATGTGACTGGTCGCTTGGGGATGCCGTCTCTCCAGCTGCAATCCCCGGCTGACCCCGCTGCTGCAGTGTGGAGCCGAGTTTGATGCGATCAGCGGAGGCTTGCTGGCCAGCTAACTTGCAGGATGACAGGGGTTGCGGGGATCCGGGAGAGAGCCGTCCGATACACGTCACCTGCTGGTAGCTCTGCGCACTGTTCTTCCTCTGCCTCCGCGTTTATTCAAATCACTCGCAAAATACACGCAAAAACAGTTGCTCGGTTGCCACACGTACTCTTCCCCTGTTAGATCTATTTTTTTTTTGTAATTGCCATATGTAGTTATAACTCGACAAAATGAACTGAATACCCATATTAAGCAGAGAGACTTTAATATAGACTAAAATCGATTCTTCCAGTGTCTAGTGTAAAATAAGTCGATATCAAGATATGTAATTAGTGGGTTAGATCATGGGCTTCTTACCTGAAGGTTGCTGGTTTCTGTCCCAGGGCCTTGTGTTTTCTCTTCATAAAAGCTACCCAATTTACTCAGCTGAAACCCAAATGTATATCTGGATATAAATTGTCAGTTTGAGATGGTGGTATTGGAATAGTCTCAAAAGAAGAATTTTCGCATATTTGTATTTTAAGACCTGATAAATTGCCATTGTTCTTCAGGTAGTTGGTGGTCAAGGTCTATGGTTTGTTTTAGACAAGTCCAGACTTATGGTATAAGCTTGCGGTTTTCCCATAATCAGTATTCCTGAACATGTTATTAATCAGTTTGTAAATTTGCTTATTCATCTGGTTGCTTCAGTCATGAATTATGTTGCCTAGAAATCCATCCATCCATCCATTCATCTTCCAACATATTATCATGCATATAAAATTCAGGTGACAAATTGATTCAGTAAGTTTTGTATAATGAATGTTGCTGCTTTAATATGTATTTTAACCGCTATCATACCTGTAACCTGACTAATTGCTTTCAGTGTGAAACTGATTTGAGAGGTTGCGTAAATGTTAAGAATGACAGCATTGCCATGAACTTGTTGCTTCGCAAAAGAAAGTTGGTCATATTTCCAGCTTCATCTGATGTATTCTGACAGCTTGTTAATGAATAGCCATAATATGTGTGCAGTTAGTTTGAATGTTTAAACAAACTATCTACAGTGGTAAGAGACATTGCTGTTGTCATTGCTGGTATTTTATTGCTGCAATAACCTCTTCCTTGTTTTATTGATTTCTTTTTATTCTTTTAGGTTTCCACTGAGTCCAGGAGGAATTTTAAAGAGTTTGTGCTTTTTGGGTGATGATAGTCAACTTTATTAAGGATATTTTTGAAATATATCCTCTGCTAAATCTATCTTGCTGACTCTTCCCAGGATTTACAAGAATGCCCTACACTATGCTTTGTCACATATTTTTACAATCCTTTTCACTGTATGGATGCCATTAATTAGTAACAGAGAAAGAGAAATCTCTATGGATCACCTCTGCCTGAAGCAAAGTATTCAACCATGGTAAAACTTGCAAACCCACTATATACGGGGTGGATTCTCGAAGCAATACAAAAGATCAAAAGGCAAAAGCAGAGACCATCTGAAGAGAGAATCTGTCATGCAGTATCAACATCACATGGACTGGACAAGGAGACCGTTTTGGAGCAGTTGGAATTAAGTGTCCATGATGGCTCCATTCTCAAGGTGACAAATAAGGGAAGTGCTTCTTATAAAGACCCAGATAATCCAGGGCGAATAGCACCTCTCAAATCTGGAGGCTTCTCTGTGTCTCTAAAGGGATCAGCATGGAGCTCAAGCGACCTACGCTATGTAGACTGGAATAAGATCTTGCGGCAAGCTATCGAAGCTCTCAATGACCCCATTGGTTCCTCTTTGAAGAACATCGAAAGGTATCTCAGGAACCAGGATGACTTGTCGAACATCATAAGCAACCCCACTTTCCAGCAGCGGCTAAGGTTGGCAGCCAAACGGGCGGTTAACAATGGAAGGCTGCTGAAGAATGGGCCGCTGTACCGGATGAACTATGGAAGTGTTGAAGGAAGAGGATCTTCCAGGTGTACAAGTGCTTCCCCATCATTCCTCCCCCTTGCAAGTCTTCTTCCACATGAGAAAGACCAGGTATGCTGTGTACCTCTTCATTTCCTGGTGTTGATGTTGAACCAGCATTTTGTGTTGAACCCTTTTTGTCACCAAGTTTTGTTTGGCTGCTTTATGAAATCTTAGATGGTCCATTTAATTTCTTCAGAAAGTATTTTTTTTTTCAGTTAAGCAGTATTTATACTAGATAAGATGTTTGCAATTTCATGGCAGAGAACTTTGGTAAACTATCAAGATCAGTGTGGTTTTTCTTGGGAGCCCATGCTAGACTGGTGTGATTTTTGGATTTGTGTTGAGTGTTGATTTGTGAGTTTATTCGGAGAATAAAAACTAGCAGAAAGTATGATGGGTTTTGTGACTTTGTTCTTTTGTATAACTTTACAGGTTAATAGATCATTGACTTGATTATGCTGCTGTCTGATTATGCTGTTGTATGAATGCTGAAATCAGCATGTATATAAAATGCCTCTTTCTGTCATGTATAGTAATAAGTTGACCATTTTTCTTCCCAGTTATCTTCCAGTTGTTAGGCAACAGTTTGTAGTTAAATTCTTTTAAAAATATATGGGTTTGGATGTTGTGCATTTTGAGAAATGAAGTATGTTAATTGCAGTGCATTTCAAGCTGCTGGATACTGCATAATATGTAGTTAGCAGCATTTAAACCCTTTTCTTTTTTTCTAGTTTAATCAATCGGTCTCTAAATATTAGGTAGATATACAGCTAACTTGGTTTACATGAGGAATCTGCAAGTAAGCGCCCTTCCTTTTTGTGGTTTGGTAGCCTTCTGTGAATGTGTTGGTCCCTCCCAATTAATGAGCGTAAAAAAAGAAAGATGATGCCCATGTAAAACTTTCAGTTAAGTAATTGATTGTGGAGTATTGATATGTAACATTCAAGCAATTATCTCCACCAATCACAAACACTGTTTTATGTCTGTTGCCTGGTCCCAAGTTCAGCTGGTTTAGCACTTCAGGGAAACTAGCCTGTGTACAGGTAAGTAAGCACTATGATAGCCAATCTGCTGATTATAGCCACCAAGATGAAGTTTAGGCTCTGTCTCCTTGCTTATTATTTTATCAAAATTTGTTCTTTTAGCTTGAATGCCAGGATTTAGGATATTCACTTAATTTATGCAATAATTTATGCTGAAGTATAACGAACCTTCAGTTGTGCAGTAAGAGACATAAAATTAACTGGTGGTTTATTGTATTTTTTTATGATCTTTCACGATAGTGCCATTGTCAGACATGCCTGTTATGTGTTTTTTATTTTTCTGTCCAAATAAAACAATCCCTGGTTTTTGGTGTCATTAAAGCTGTGATTTCACCCTTTCTGGAAAATAGTACCACTATCCAAAAGTGTGTGCAATTTTTAGTCTCTTAATCGTCAGAAAATTGAGTTCTGTGGTTGACTCGTTTAAAATCAGTATTTTTCAGGATTTTAGTGAATCGCTTTAAATGGTATGACCTGTGGAACAGCAGGTTACCAAAAATTCACTAAATTGTGGTTAAATTGCACTGTGTGAGGGCACAAGAATGAATTTAAACAAAAGTTGCTTTTTACACCGTTGCTGTGACATGCTCCAAACGTCAATTTACCCAGGCTTCCCGATGTGAAATTGTTTTTCTGCTTTGGCACCACGAGCCAAGCCGGCTTTTTCTGTTGGTAGATGCTGGAGTTGACCCCATAAAATGGCCTCTGGCAGCATATGAGTTGCTACCAGCCAGGCTCACCTGTTTCATTTGCTGGTTATGTCAAAAGTTGGACACATGGTTAGCGATCACTGCAGTAGGTTACTGTGTTGATCCATCAAAGACAATGTTAAATTACCATTCCCCTTTTTTGGATTCCAATCAAACAAAGCAATTTCACAAAAATCTGTGTGGGTGTTTCTGTTGGCAATGGTATGAATTGTGCATTTATAATGTGACAGTCATCCTTTAACACTATCCAACCATCTACTTTGAATAATGGATAGGGTCACGGGTAGGGTTAGCTGAACTACAGTCAATGTTGGGATGCACAGAGAAGGGTATGTTCTGGATGGCATGCCAGGCTGATGGATGGCACCGATGCACAGAGGCATACAATAATGGCCCTTTTGGAGTTAGTGCACCTGAACTACCAGTTTGCAAATCTGGAACATTTATATCAGAATATTTAGTGAGTTTAAAGGAAAGTCTTTTATGTAGTACTGGGGCAAAGTTATGTGGATTCTAAATAGACAAATGATAATTAATGAGCTGTGAATTCTCAGAACCACAAAGCACTGATACTGATCAGGTTAATTTGTATGTGCAAATCAATAGGACAGTCAGGCTCCAATTCAGATTTATAAAGATGGATAATGTGCTATCAGGGTATAAATGCATATGGGATATGGCACCGCCTTTTCCAAGTCAACATGGAATGGATGTGTATTGGGAGAGGTTCTTAATATCATCAGTCGGACTCAGAACCCAGGAATATTCCAAATGATCATTGACGTGCATATTAAGGTGATTTAAGTCAGCCTAATGCTAAACAGACACTTTTCTGTGACCACATGTGTATCTTTAATTGATCTATTTGGCCACCACTCACCTGCAGTAATGCATTCTTTTTCTTCATTCAGCATTAACACTGGAAGCAGCTAAGTAATCAAATGAAAACGGGACATTCCCTTGTCTTTGAATTATTTAATTACAGGCCCCTGGTTTCCAGGAATAGACCTTGTCTGTTGCTAGGAGGTATATTAAATTGACATGAGCATGTGATAGTATGGTGCCAGTTCCTCAGCAGTTAGAAAAGGTCTCCTCTTGCAGATGGTCCTGCATCTTGTGATTGATTGTGTTTATGAACTGGTTGGTGGTTCTGTAAACAATGGGGGCAGGATTGGGATCAAAGCCCCCTGTTAAGTGACTGTACTATTTCAAGCTGGCAGTCTGCATTAGTTTGTATGCCACTGATAAATCAGAATGTTTATTTTTTTTTTTTAAAAAGATGGTCAGCCTAGTTTTCTTTTTTTCTGGGTTTGGTAAGATTGATCCAAAAATTGATTTCCTTACTTAATCCTGGATCACTCCTGACAGTTTAAAATCTTGCTCTGTGGCAACTGGGACATGGGACAGATATAGATCTTCAAAAAAAAAAAAAAAGAAAAAGAGGAGTTTGTGCTGAGCTTTAGCCTGCTTTAAAATTATCTCTCTGGTTTCACTGACTAACGAACAAGAGGAAGTGGATTCATTTTCTCGGTTTGACTCACGACGGGTAGCTGAAGGACAGTAAGTGGTTCACACACTGTAGAGGGATGCATTTAGCCTCCTCTTAAATGCTGTTTGTCTAGAGCAGTGTTTCTCAACCCAGTCCTCAGCGAACCCCAGCCAGTCCACGTTTTTGCTCCCTCCCAGCTCCCAGCCAATCAGGAACACCGAATAGCTGGTACAGGTGCTCTGGGAGCTGAGAGGAAGCAAAAACGTGGACTGGCTGGAGTTCGCTGAGGACTGGGTTGAGAAACACTGGTCTAGAGTGTGACTTCACTCAGCAGCTGAAAAGTGCATGCACCACGACTGAATATTCCTTAACATATAAGGCTCCCTTTAAAATAATAGGCCATTTCTGTTGAACTTTTAAGTAGAGGAAGAACCTCTTTTTGACCAATGGGAGCCCAGCAGTGGTTTGCTTGTCTTGCAGCAATGCGTATATAATGCCAATACTGTGATATGTTGCTCATCATGGGGACGGATGCCTTTGTGTGAAGTATTAAGCTTGTGGTATCATTTAAAAGCAAATTTGCTAATGCTTTTATTTATTTATTTTAATTAGACTTCTTTAATTATGTTATAAATGGCAATTATCAGCTTCTGGTGTGCAAATCCCTCTGCTCATAGACTGTTCCTTTTGGCTCCAGTTTTTCTGCATCCAGCTGACTGATTGATCATCTCAAGCTGTTTATTTCATTGACAAACCCTCGCTGTGCTGAGCACTTTTCACTGCGGGTGCCCTGCAACTGCTGATATTTGAAGAACCTCGGAGACTTACTGAACCGCCCGACTCTTAATTGACTGGTTAAACGGCTGTTAAGTCATTTCATCTATAGGTTTTTAAAAAGAATATTGATGCATTCAGTATTAAGTACACAACAAGCTGTTGTCCTCTTCATTCATACTAACAAGGTAATATGTTGCATATGGCCATGCTGAATTAACCTTGGTTATGCAAGTTGTTTTAGACACGGTAGTTTGGAAAAATAGCTCCTCCCCTCCATAGAATGGGCGGAGTATGATTGTTTTTGTATCACCTAATACACATGACTTTAAACATTCCAACAAGGCTATGATGTTTCGTTCTCTGTGGCTGTCTTGCCATGTTATTGCCTTGTGCTCTGCATTTAACACCTGAAAATGCTTCTTTTCTTGAAAAGGTCTTATTTTGTTATGGAAGGTTAAAAAAAAAAAAGTAATTAATCATACTATAGTAGTTGAATTTTTGCTTTTGCATGCATTGCAGATTAGTTGAGATGGTATCATTGGAATCAGTTTGATTCTGTTTAAAGTTCTGTCTAGCCTAGCTGAGAAATATTCCCATACAGCATTTGGTAGCACCATGTAGCTCTGCGAACAGAAGTTTTTTCTTTTGCATTTTTACTACACTTAAGTAAGTTAAGTGCAAAAATGCAGAAGCGGTCCCTGCGATTTTCTTGTGGCTGCTCTTATCTTCAGTGTTCCCAGGTCTTAAAAAATGCTGACTCACCTTTTGAAGTTGCATAATAAGCTTAAACAAATGAAAGCAAAGAGGTCTTCATAGAATTGCCCCTCCTTTATAACCGAACACCCATGTTGTGTTTTGAGAACATATTCAGCTTTGTGTACAGTGACAGAGGAACTGTTTGTAAGCTCATAGTTGCTGAGAAAAGTCAGTTACTTTTGTGAACGAGGAGCTTTCGTGAAGGTGTGACTGGCTGCTTGTGAGAGCTCGGGCAGCAGGCTGCGTAGTGGTGAAAGGAATGGATCTGCAACTGAACTGCTGCATCATTTCAAATTTGGGGGAGGGGGCTGAACAAACGCAGTTTAATAATCTAAACAAATCACAGACTTTAGGGACGGGTAACTCTTGCATTCCTCAGGCATGCTTCTGTTGGTCGCCAGTTGGGTCATTTCCGAGTTTGCTGCTAAAACATTAGCAAGAAGTATCCTATCTGTCACCGAAAATTTAGTCATAGACAAATGGCTGGTGAGCATGGCTACTAGTGAGGTGATAAAGGTTGAGTGCACCCTGCTGCAGGGTGAGGTTTAGCTGGGAAGCTGTGGTTTTGCACTGTTTGCACGCAGGCGGGCTGTTACGGACACATGAAGCTAAAAATTTCTTTTGACAGGAACACATTCATTCTTGTATAAACAAAGTGGCCCCATAAATGAGGCTCTCTTGCCGTACTGCTCAAGGATAATGATGAATATGGATAACTTTCAGGAAGTTGCCGTAACTAGCCTGAGACATTTATACGAGCTGGGCCAGACTGCATTTGTAATGGTGATTTGGGTACTTTTATTTATTTATATTAAATAGATGTTTTATAAGAACAGCATGTGAACATTGCTGAGGCACTAACGTGCACTGAATACTAGATATGTGTGTAGTTTCTCTAACTGCAGTTTAATAAGTCATTATAGTAGTCAGATAATAGATCTTATGGTTCATCTGTTCATTATTAGATGTTTTTCCAATGGTCTCTCCCCATAACTGAATTGTATGCGCTAAGGTGCAAATCCCCTGAGCCTGATGTTAAGCACACGTTGCCCACAGCTGTAGGCTATATTACACTCCATCAAGTCTAGCCAGAAAACAGACCATAAATAAATGAATGAAAATAAAGTGATGCAGTGAACCAGGTAAATGGACGTTGGATCTAAGTCGGGCTATTTTGTTTGAATCGGTTTTCTGTTACTGAAAGGAAACGCGCTGTTAATTAGCATCAGTGACTTACAGGGCCGCTGTTAGGGCTGCCACAGAATGGGTGGCTTTTGCAGGTCTGGTTTTCATTACATCACAGTGAATGTCGACCTCGCATCTTAGCTAACACAGGCCATCAGCTTCTTCATTATAAATAATACAGGTAAGTTTCTGTTGCTTGTCTTGTATCCCCCTTACATTTTAAGGCCTGGTGTGATGCTTTGGTCTCATTGTGTTTCAGCACAACATGTTGCAGTAAAGATTTCCCAATTGCTGATCTCAGTCCCTTTATCGGCTCGAGCTGATATAGCGTGTATCTGACGCTGAGGTGCTGCATGCGTGCTTTCTGAGTCACTCAGTTTATTAGCTGTCTGTGAGATGCAACAACGGTGTGATTAGGTTATTAAAAACTGGTGATGATGAAGATTGTGTATTTATTTTTTTTAACTATAAACAGACATTTGAGCAACCTGTTGCACAAATGTTAAGTTTTTGGTTTTTGTTTTTTGTATTTTTTTTTTAACCACTTCTCATTTTGTCAGTTGTATATGACTGTGAAAATGCCTTTGGCTGAGCTTGTAGTTCGAACCACGTGACTGACAATTGGGTGGGGAATGGGATCTTTCTTTATGGGGGGAATGGTGGCACTGGAAAAGGGCTGACAGCACACACTTCAGAGCTACAAAAGCAAACTGCCCTTCTAGAGTAGAGTGAAATGAAAATCATGGGGGCAGGAAAAGCTGGTACATGTCAGGGGACACTGAGTAGACTTTCAAGGTGGGGGGGGGGGGGTGTTCTCCCTGGTTATTAGGAATGTGGAGAGAGAAACAGGCCTCACCAATTAATACCCTTCACTGGTAATGAGGGACAGGTGGAATTAATCAGCATACCAATCTTGGGCACCTGAAAATTCCTCCCAAGTCTCCTGAAGGACTAACAGATCTTAAAGATGTTTTGTGTTAATCCACATGTGTAATTAGACCTACAGGTGGTGACTGAAGTCAGTGAGAGACTTTTCCAGTATTAATGTTTTCTAGTTGAATTTGTGAGATGTAGGAACATCAGACCAAATGAAAACCTTTACAGTTTCTTTTTTTCAGCTCTTACCTGCAATACTCCTAATGCATCGGCCCTGATAATTAATAACAGAAAATGGTGACTAATCATGTCTGTGTGGTACTTTTTACACTCCCCACTGCTCATTGTGATCTTTTTTTCTCTCTTGCTTGCTCTCCGTATCTCCCCTGCGCTGTGCGCCCCCCCCCCAGCCTCGCGCTGACCCCATCCCCATATGCAGCTTTTGTCTGGGCACGAAGGAGTCCAACCGCGAGAAGAGGCCCGAGGAGTTGCTTTCCTGCGCGGACTGTGGGAGCAGCGGTGAGTTTCCTGGGTGCCTCCATGCAGTAGCAATAGAGGCATCAGTGTTTGGGCATCCAGCTTGCCAGTGATGTGATGTGATGTGACTTGATGTGATGTGATGCCAGAGCTGGGAACACATTTCTTAAATAAGCTTATAAGTTTGTCTTATTGAAGGCATTGCAAATACAGTATTTTGGCAACCACTCCAGAACAGGGTGCTGCTTTTTTTTTTTTTTTCCTCCTTCATGTATCAATCTCAATGAATTTGTGAACCACAGTATATTGTATTGTGGAGAGAGTATTCAGCTGAAGCAAGTCTCTCTGCGCCCCTCTGAATGAGGCTCTACCCTTGTGGCAGGGGTGATTAGAAAGACGCGAGGTCCCTTTTCACTGTGTGGCCCTTCTGCAGAGGTGCCAGACGTCACGTGTTGAGATTTCGAATGTAGGAAGGCTTTTGTGAATTCATCCACCATGTTTAAATCCTAATCACTTAGTATTTTGGTTTCTTGTTTATTAAGAGGTTGTATTTCCTTCTCACATGTTTCTTTGCTTAAATAATAAAATCAGTTCTCCCATCTGTTGATGTATGGGTGCTACCCATAATGGTTTGTGGCTATGTTTGTGTGGTGGCTCTGTTTCGGTGATTAGTGCTATCCAATACATATTTTGAACATACCTATGAGGCAATGTGAAAATGCTGCCGTAGGTGTAGAAAGTATTTGAAGACCGAACTTGTGTGTAAATATAATTATTTTGCCACACACTTTGCACGTTTCTGCTGCTATTTTACCGAACTTTAGACTTCCAGATGTCTGGTTAGATGTTTGGTAAGATGTATTCCAAGGTTCAGCTTATTGTAGCAGGTTGATGTCAGTCCTGAGGTGCGTCAGTGCTGAGCAGCATTATGGGAAAGTGGCATATAGATTGGTGGTGGCATTTTTCCACACTCTTCTATCTTCTGGACTCTGCTGGCAGCATCCCATTAAGTTACCTCTTCAAAGTAGTAATTTGAGTCAAACAATTATTTGAAATGCCAAGAGTAATCACTTTCCTAGTGACATTCTTATTGGCTAAAATTGACTAAGGAGACGGGTTTCACTCCATCGTTCGGAGTGTGTCAAAATGCCCCCTGCTGAAAAACACTAGTTATGAGACTGACAGACTGCCTTCTATTCCCTTCCTTTCTCCCCCACCATGACTTTCATGGATTATCTTAATGTACAAATAAATGCTTCCTATCTCTCACTAAGGTCAAACTATCCTTCACCAGTCACTCATTAAGGTTAAATGTATTATTTTTTGGAACTGCATTCAGCATAAAAATCACATTGTTGATGTAATGTCGTATCTTTTATGTGTTGATTCTGCATCCATCGTTTGCTGCCATTTAGAACCATTTTCTTTAATCCTGCAAACTATTAATTTGATGGTGGCTCCGACTTTGAATTCTTCTAAATGTTAGCTTAAGAGGCTTGATGTTTTTTGTGTGTTAACAGGTTTTTGTATTATGCAGTAAATCTGATTTTGTATTTTGCCTTGATTTTCTTTAAGGACATCCGTCCTGTCTGAAGTTCTCTCCAGAGCTGACCACGAATGTAAAGGCGCTGCCGTGGCAATGTATTGAATGCAAAACGTGTAGTTCCTGTCAAATCCAAGGGAAAAATGCTGTAAGTAATTTGGGGGGGAAATCTTGATTGTCTCCCCCTATGAGTAATGCATGCATTCTAACAGAGGAAACTGTTTAGTACCTTGTATATGGCCAGTTTGAATCCAGTCATCCCCTTCAGAAATGGTTAGTTTTGCTAATTAGTTCCTAGAACATTTACAGGGGCGTGAGTGAACTCTGTGATTGCATGGAGGAGATTGGATCACAATATAACATGTAAATCATGATAGTCTTGCAAGTTGGTGCTTAGACTGAAATCTAGAAGCTGGATGAGGGAATTTAGAGGGTGGCAATCCCTGGCTGTGTGCTGGAAGCCACAAGCGGTGAGGCAACTTGGCATATTTCCAGCGAGGGAGAGAATCGGCCGGGATTTTATTTCTTTAGTGCATGCGTGACTCGGAGGAGGCCGTGTCGTCAGTGTCAGCGAGGAAGCCGAAAGCGAGGTCGCCGTGTAAAATGAGGTGAAAGTCAGGGATAAAAACGGAATGTGAACTGATTCTTCCAGGATGACATGCTATTCTGCGATTCTTGTGATCGGGGTTTCCATATGGAGTGCTGTGACCCACCGCTTTCGAGAATGCCAAAAGGTAAGATCATCAATCCATCTGCCCCCCCACCGCCCCCAGTTCAATGTTAAAATGTTATATCGATTTACCTTGCATTACAGTATGGGGCCTGACAGCCGTGCTCGTAAAGCTTGTGGAAATGTGAAAAAGTCGGCTCATATACTTCCATGTTATTACCTTTCTCCGTCTATTTTCCTTGAAAACGTTTCCGTTTTTTCTCTAATTGATTTCCGTTTTCCCCGAGTTGTGAATTGACACCAGAAATGAAGGCATTTAAATTGTGTGCATTACTCGGGAGTATTTCAAACGAGTATGTGTCCTTTTGAATTGATTGACCAATCAAATGCTCTTTCTGCTTGGACATCCTCCAGGAATGTGGATCTGCCAAGTGTGTAGGCCAAAGGAAAAGAGAAAGCGTTTGCTGCATAAGAGAGCTGCCCAGATCAAACGTCGATATGCAAAGCCGTTAGGAAGACCCAAAAAAAAGCCCAAACAGTGTACCATGTATGTTAGTCTGAATTTGATACCATTTGTGTGGAAAGATTTTATTTCTGTATGAATCTGAAGTGCATACATTTATTTCTTTATCTTTTTATATTGGTTTAAGATTGATGGCAGTTTTTTTTTTTTTTTTGTGAAGTCCCAGTTTCCAAAAATCTTTTGAAGTTAGTATTGTATCAACTTTCACCTCAGATATAAAATGTAAGAGAAAAAATTCAGTATTTTCCTGCAGGTTTGATTTTTGCCGTATGTCAGATCAGTTATTTCTGGCTCTTCGACGCTCCAAGCACCTTTTATCATACTGAGGGTCCTCCTGCGTTGGATTAAGCATCTGACCAGCCACTCTGAATATCGCTCAGAGTTCCTCATGTTCTGTGAACATGCTCTGCATTTTAACCATTCCCTCTTAACTGTGGCTGCCTGTCCTGTTTGCATGTGAGCCTGACCTCTGCCTTTAAGGGGCAAGTTAATACAACTGTTGGAGAATGTCTATGAAAGTCTGTTTTTCATTATACGTTAAATGCTTGACGTTCTGTTGATTTGAACTATCCTAGGTGTAAATTTGATTTCGAACGCTGATGGACCTTTTTTTTAACTGCATCTTACCATTTCACCTACCTGTAGGTCTGTAACCAGTGGAGGCGGTTCCATGATAGCACTGGCTGGAAGGGGGTCACCTGGTAGGGGTCAAAAGATTACCGTCTGTACCACACGTTCATCTGGTCATGCCGCATCTGTGACGGACGCAAGACACAGGGAGCTGGCTCTTACAGACCCCTGTTGGGCTGATGACGCCACCAAATTCACCACCACCACCCCCACCCCCACCCCCGCGTGTTTCACGTCCACATCCACCTCCCCCAAACTCACTGTTAACAAGAAAACCAAAGGTCTTATTGATGGGCTTTCGAAATTTTTCACGCCGTCGCCGGTCGGCCGCCGGTCGCGGGGTGAGGCGGTAGGCCCATCGAGGCGGGGGCGCCCAAGGAAGCGGGGGCTTCAGAAACCCCCGTCCGCTCCTCATTCCTGCATTGTGGCCCCTGGCACCACCCAAAAGCTAACAACCACCACCACCCCCCCCCTCAGTGCACTCCCGCCCGGTCCTCCATTACCTGGACAGAGCCCCACCTCTCAGAAATCCAACAGTTCCACCTTGGCTAACTCCCCCCAGAGTTCTTCGAGCCAGTCTAGTGCGCCTTCCTTTAGTAGCCTCTCCAATAACAGCCAACTTAAGGGACTTTTCGATGGACTCTCTCATATCTATGCCACTCAGGGACAATCTCGGAAAAAGGGACTCCCTAGTTACGCCCCACCTAAGCGCACGCGCCGTAAGCCGGATTTGTCTTCCACGGCAAAGTCTTGCCCCCAGCTCCACGGAAAGAAAGACGTTAAGAATAGGATGGCGGCCCACTCTTCCCCCCTCTCCGGGTGGGGCCTGCCGAGAGGACGCCCCTTTAAGGCGGCTGGTCATTTCAGGCGACAGTCCTTCCTCAGAAAGCACAGGATGCTAGGCAGGTTAAAATATAAAGTGACCCCTCAGAAGGGTACCCCCTCTCCAGGGAAGGGGGGCTTGACAGATGGAAGGAGTAAGCCTGAGCACACTGATGGTAAGCAAAAGGCTCCACACTCCAGCCAAACCTGCGTCTCGTCCAGCAAAGACACATTGTAACATTGAGCTTCTGCCATTCATCTCCCCTCCCCATTGTTTCCTAACTAAACTATCGGAAAGTAGTGAAAAGCACATTTGCGGCTCCTCCTTGCTGATTAACTTGTAGCCTGTCCTTTGACTAATCCCGGGTCTACCTTTTTTGTTTTGTTTTCTTTTCTTTTGTCCCCCTTTGGTATTGCTCTGTGTGTGTAGTCTCTTTAGGGCACGCTCCCACACCTGCTTGCGGATCTGTCATTGCGCATGGTGGCCTGTCCTCATTCAGCTCCCCCCGCCCCCCCCGCCCGCCCGCTCTGTTCCTGTCCCCATACCTCTGCCTTGACTTGCCCATCTCCATCTCCTCCTAGTGGCCTCCCTTTTTCCGCGAGGCTTGTCTCTTAACTCGATTTCACCACAAAAATCTGCGCCGCTGATCAGCGCCCATTCCTCATGAATTGTGGCTCTTGTGCTAATTGTAATAGATTTTTTTTTTTTCCCCCCACTCAACCCCCCTTGTGTTCACCCCTTTGTAAGCCACCCTGCCTAAATGTGGGAAAAGGGGCTTTTTTTTAAAGCCTTTCGCTTGTGGTTTATCGGGTTAAAGATAAGGGTTTGCTTATTCTGCGCGTAATTTGTGATAAAATTTAGATCCTGGGCCATTGGCACATTTTTTAAATATGATCATTTTAATGTCTGTCTGATGTGTTTGTGATTTTGTTTTAACTGCAGCTACTGTAAAGTGGCTTCTCCTGCTGTATAATAGCTTTCGTGTTCAAATACTGTCACAAAAGCGGCAAGTGAATCATTTCATCTCATAATTGAGTGACTGAATGCCTCAGGCTCTTCTGTGAAGAACCTTTTCTGCTTCTTTACAGCCAAAAGTGAGGGATAGAGACGAAACACCATTTTCCTTTGTTTATTATCTGCTTTATTACTCGATCTAATTAAATACTGTTATATGAGGAATGGCTAAGAACATGAAAGCTATTATGTGGTGGTCCATTAACTTGAGTGTTGACCTTTTTGTCAAAGCTTTTATTTCATTCTAATTAGAAAATGATTTAAAATGATTTCTTCAGTTATACTAACATCATAACATTCTTGATTAGCGTGAATATGGATATGTATGCTAAGCTAGTGTTTGAAAGAATCAATTCAGTAATCTAACGTTCAGCACAGGTTGGCATAGATTTGCTTTGTTTGCATACATTTTGTGCGATTAAGTGTCTTGTTTCTACTTACTATATTTATAGGTGCTATAATCAAGCTGGTAATTCAGTGATTCCATGACTGTGAAAATGAGCTGAAGCATGTTAATGATAAAATGTTTGAGAGAGAGCTAGATTTAGAAGCTGCTAGATATTTTTGGAGAACCTAATGACAGGTGTTTACTCCTAGGAGAACCCAATGGACATCTTGTGTGAGCCTTTAAAATGGGTATTTTAAGGTTCTAGGGCAGTTTTATCGAGGTATTATGCTTTGATTTGGTATTACTGTGTATGCACTGTCCCTGTATCCATGTCTGAAATGCAAATTTTTTTTTTCTTTCTTTTTGTGAATGATTCAGAAAATGAAGGCATCAGGAAAGTAAAGCAGGAGACTCCAGACTTGAGTGCGGCAGTTTCAAAGGAGCACGTTACACAAGAGGATTTAGAGATTTTTAAGCAAGTGCTGGAGCTCTCGATGCAGGTGAGGAGGCTCATTTTGTGTCTGAATTACTCCAGGCTTCTCCCATCGGTGCACAGAATTATATTGCTTTAGTTAAATGTTAAGGCATTGGGACCCTGATGAAATGAGTTTTTGAAGTACATGGTGCTTCTTGCAGCTCGCAGACCGTAATCGGTGTTCTGTCCTTCAACGTACTGCAGTTTATAAGGTTTTAGATGTTATTATTTTGGAAGATTTCAATCCTTCCCTAACCCTTGTCCTTTAAGCCTGTACTTATACACTGACATACTATTATTCTGTACCCTTGCAGAAAACAGGGTGTGCAAACACAACAGGTTCTGGGCGGTACCCCACAGTCATTGACTTTGGGAAGTACGAGATCCAGACCTGGTACTCTTCGCCATACCCGCCCGAATATTCAAGGTATGAATCACCGGTAGCCTAGTTCTGTCTGCCAAGCCGACGTCCGGCCGAGTGTGACGGCCTCCCATTCTGCTCCGCAGATTACACAAGCTGTATCTCTGCGAGTTCTGCTTGAAGTATATGAGGAGCAAGAATATTCTCCAGCGGCATTCGAAGAAGTGTGGATGGTTTCACCCACCAGCCAATGAGATATACCGAAAGGATGACTTGTCTGTGTTTGAGGTAAGTGGCCACTTTGTAATCTTTAGACGCTCAGGATTGGTTTGTCAAAATTATTCTTCTGTATTTATCTAATTTCTTCAACACATTGAGTTAAACCACCCCAGTATTTTCCCCACATCAATGTCCATTTCCAATTCTGTAGCTTGTCCTCACCTTCCCCCCCCCAAAAAAAAAACCTGTGATGCCCATTGAACTTGTTACGTGCCGTGTGTGACATGTAGCCAAGGCGTCCCTGATCTGATGGAGCTGCCTTTCTTACTCCTTGCCAACGGTGACCTGCAGCCTCAGTGCAGCCGCCTCTCTCTCCATCTCTGCCGCTCCTGCGGCAGCCGGCAGAGATGCACTGAATGATTTACACTCCGGTCTCCTCCGGCGGAGCCGCGCTACACGTATTCTGTCGATTCACGGTCCGCAGAGGACGTGATCTCAGCATGAGCTCTAAGCTCAGCCACCCCCCCCCACCTCCCCCCAGTCCCCAAGCGTTGTCAGAATTTAAACACAATGTTTGGATCCGCATCTTGCTTTGTCTTGCTGAGAAAATTCGATTTGCTGTAAATAGTTTAAATTTACCTTTTTTTTTTGAAAGTGGAAACTTTGTTATATCCGTAGACTGGTTCTTGTTATATAATTTGCACTTGACATGGAGACAATGCTGAGTGAAGCCTTTTGCTTTAAATCTTCCCTCTCAGGTTGATGGTAATATAAGCAAAATATTCTGCCAAAACCTCTGCTTGCTGGCTAAACTCTTTCTGGACCACAAAACGCTTTACTATGATGTCGAGCCTTTCCTTTTTTACATACTTACAAAAAATGATGAAAAGGGATGCCATCTTGTGGGATACTTTTCAAAGGTAAGTTTTTTTTATTTTTTTTCCTCATTATTCATTATGCTAACGCTGTTCGGGCTGTAGGGGGTGTAACAGTAATTTCCGTTTCAGATGGGGAGAGTATGTGGTTTGCGGAACAAGGTGCTCTGTATTTAAAGAGAGATTCCATCCAATTTTTTTTTCCCCCTACAATGTCCTACATATCAAATGGAAATCATATTTCACTTTCCCTGACCAGAGAGCTGGCTCTGCAGAGTAAACTTTTAAAATGCACTGTTGCCAAGGGACATTTCTATTATACTTGGTGTCAGAACTCTGTTTAGCATTAATTTAAAAAAAGGAAAATCAGCAATATGCCAGTGGATTTTTTTTTTTTTTGTCTCTTCAGATTCGCCCCCAAAAAATCATGACCCCCCCCCCACCCCCATCTCCAATTTCCATTCTATTTTTCCTAGAATCCTGGTTACATTGATGTCATACTGCCTGGGAATTCTGTGATACTGCCAACCCCTGTCCCTGACACACCAATCCTTATTTTATTACCAAGAAAATGAAATCAACATGGTTTTCGCAGCATATGAAATAATGGGATTTTTGGAATTCCCATTTCAAACTGGCAAATTGGTGCTTTTTTTTTTTTTTTTTTTTTAATTTTTTTTTTTTTATTGGCAGATATGACGTATTTGAAGGGATGTGTTTATATTTATGCATGATTATGGTATTATAATGTCACCTCGTGCTACATGTGCAGTTGCCCGTCTTTCGGGCCCGGGCTGGTGGCAGGTGTGGTGAACTGCCGGCTTCAGCATAGCTTTGACATCCTTGATCTGTTTCCCTTTCCCCCAGGAGAAGCTGTGCCAGCAGAAGTACAATGTCTCATGCATAATGATCATGCCTCAGTACCAGAGGCAGGGCTATGGCCGCTTTCTCATCGACTTCAGTAAGTCGCTAAGTGCAGTGGTGGGCTGTGGGGGTGGGGGGTGGGTTGGTCCACGCTCATCTTAACAAGAGTCCATCTCGCTCCCTCCTTCCACCGCCCCCCCCCCCCCCCCCCCCCCCCCCCCCCCCCCCCCCCTTCTTGGTTCTCATGGAGGTCAGCCACGTAGCGCCGCGTGTATTTCTGCATACCGTTGGCACATGACACCGCGTGGGGTAATTTTTAACAAATCGCTCAACATGGGATTGAATTTTAATTGCCCGCTGTCGTTGCTGTGGTGTGACGGGTTTAAAACTTCACCTCTCTGAACTCAAAAGGGATAGCTGGACAAGGCTTTTTTATTTTTTATTTTTTTGGGGGGTGGGGGCATAACACCTCTGCCAGAGGCCTCCCCTGGTGTGTGTGTGTGTGTGTGTGTGTGTGTGTGTGTGTGTGTGTGTGTGTGTGTGTGTGTGAGAGAACCCCATTTGTTGGTTTAGGGCACTGCTTTCCCAGGAGGTGACTATAGCTGTTCAGTCTGTGTGTGTGTGGGATCCATCATAATGAAAGTGGGAGGAGGGTCTCCGTCTCAGTGGGCACTGAGGACCCTGATCCTCGGCTTTTAGAGGTATTTATTGTAAAAAAGGGGGCTATACGTGGTAGCAGCTGTGGGCTATTTATTTCACTTTCTCCCTCTTACTCTTTTTACTGGAGGAAAAAGTAAAACTACAATTGTTGGTAATGAAATGTGGCTGAAGAACAGCCCCCCCACCTCCTTGTTTTTTTCCCCTATACAATTCTTAGCTTCTTATGTCAAGCTGCCTCTCTTTAAAACCTGAGAAGCATTTGGAATCATACAATCATATTCAAGTATAATAATTGCATTGTTTGCCTCTTGTTAGAGATGAAATGTGACCGAGTTAATGGCTCTCTGGTGGTTTGTTTTATTATTTATTTAGTGTTGTTAGCCTGACAGTGCCTGCAGCAAAAATCCTGACGATGAGTCATAAAGCAGTGACTTAACTGTCCTTTACAAAAATTCTTTTCTAACATTTAGCTGCCATTAAACCGCAAGGACCAAAAAGCAGGAACGCCGCTTATGCCAAACGCACTGCAGTGTCATTTGTTACGCCCAAGGAATTTCTAGAAATGACTATTTTATGACCCTTTGTCTTTTGCAGTTTGGCATGGTTTTTTTTTTTTTTGGTTTTCCTTTATTTGTAGCTTCTTATAGTTGCATATGCTCACAGTAAATGACGTGCTCTGTTCAGCTGGATTTTTCTGTAGGTGTTCTCGCCCTCCCAGCGATACCGTAGGTGTTCCTAGTAGCGCGAGTCCTTAAAAGCCGTACGGCTTAATTTCGTGCCTCTCGTAATAGATGGGCTGCTGTAAGACTAATTACTGATAGCGGCGTCTCTTCCTGCCGCCGCCTTCCCCCCGTTTATCGGTTCGGCTTCTTGTGAGCAGTGACACCCAGCTGCTTCTCTCCATTTGTTCCGCTGCATTGCTTGCCCCCAACCTTCCCAGTTGCCCTTGCCAGCATGTTTCGTGGAATTTGACAGGGGTTGAAGGAGTGAAAAATATATTGTCTCACCTCTTTTAGGCTCTTTTGAAGGTGGCAACGGAGCACTTACAAATAGCCGCCCCGCCCCGCCCCTCCTCCATAGAGCCGGTTTCGCAGGAAGTAGCCCGCTAGAAATGGCGACGCTTAGCTTAACTTAATACTCTGCTTTTGTTTCGTTTTTCTAGGTTACCTACTGTCGAGGCAAGAAGGACAAGCGGGCTCCCCTGAGAAGCCGCTGTCAGATCTGGGCCGCTTATCCTACTTGGCATATTGGAAAAGTGTCATACTAGAGTACCTTTATAACCACCCAGATAAACACATCAGTATTAAGGGAATAAGCAGAGCTACTGGCATGTGTCCACATGACATTGCCTCAACTCTGCAGCACCTCAATATGATTGACAGGCAGGATGGCAGGTGAGTCGATGTGCAGTTTATGGCCATTATCTCCAGCCAAGGTTTGATAAATTTGCAGCTGTGGGTTTTTTTTTTTTTTTTTTTTTTTAAAGAGATTCCTTGCCCTCCTGCCGCAGCACCAATGTCACCAGTCCAAGACCTAGCTTCTCGCTTTCCTATTATCCCCCTTCTTTTTGAATCCTCTAGAAGTCAGTCCAATTTAAACGTTTGCCCATTCTGACTTACTAGGCATGCTCGATATACATGGGTAACTATGACCTTGTGTTTGCGGGGTCTTTTAAGGAATAACGAAATGCAGATGGCCACTTGTCATAGCAGGTAGTCAAGTCTTCCGTGTTTTTTGGCAGGAATGAAGGTGACAGCTAATGTCAAGGAAAAATAAGAATAAGATATTTGCTGAATTTTTTTGGAGAATAAAATGTTTTGCTGAATATGAACGTCCAAAGTGTTGATTCTGAACGATCACGTACCATTGACTTTGGTCCAGATTCGTCGTCATACGGAGGGAGACACTGATCCAGAAGCACATGACGAGGTTGAAGACAAACCCCCGCCGGAACGAAGTGGACCCCAACTGCCTTCGGTGGTCTCCCGTCATGACCTTCAGCACGGTGCTGTCTGAGGAAGAGCGCGAGGCTGAGATGGAGGTGCATTTCCTGTCCCCTTTTTGCAAGTGGCCACTAACCTAAAGGCTTAATGAGCTACGGGGCTCCTGGGAAATAGTGCCTGGTGATAATTAGGCTATGTTCTTTTGAAGTGAGCTGATCTCGGCGCTGTTGTCAGACGGGTTAAATACACTTATCTGTCTGCCATCAGCTCTTGCCTTTTAAATTCGCATTGTGGTAGCTCTATTTGATTAGTTTTTCGTTAAACTGTTAATGCTACTGTTGATTTTGTTAAACTGCGTTAACGCCACTTTTGTCTAATTAATGCATTCCTTAAGTACTGCACCTTATCATCCAGTTCATGAATTGGATGTTCAGGCATCAAGACGTACAAACCGATGCCCTTTAACCTTTAAACAGCCATGCCAGCATTTTATGTCTGAATGTAATGGCAGGCCTTTTTAGTTACTCTATTTAACATTGCCAGATCTTTTCAGTACTTGGGCTGCTGTATGAAAAAGCTGTAAGCCACCGATTAGATCATGCAATGACCTATTGCAATTGAGTTAAATTTCTGGACCTGTGATGGATTTGGATTCACATTCTGTAAATTGTACATCCCTCTGCTTTGTACTGTTGTACTCCCATTTTTAATGGTCACATTCTTCTAGATTATGAATATAGAGAAAAATGTGTTATATTTGTGTGGGTATGGCCTGTGACAAGTTGGACAGCTTAAATTCATTCTCTGCATTATCGATTGTAATTAATGCCATTTTTATGGAACCTATGACTGTGTACTATGTCAGTAACCTTCCTTTAGTGTCTGTACCTCTTAAATTTTATTCTCCCCTTTCGTGTTTTTATGTAGGCCGAGCGTTTGGAGCAGGCCAGCTGTTGGGAGAAAGAGGATCGGGAGCCTTGCTCGTTAAGTCACTCGAGCAGACCGCCATCCTCAAAGGTGCTCAGCAGAAAGCCACCCTGGAAGGCGCCGGACCGTGCATTCAGTGTGGCGGCAGGGGCCGTGCGGGAGAGCGACGATTACAGCGAGGAGGATGGGGATTCTGACCTCTCCCCACCCATCCTCACCAAAGCTCAGGCTATGCTTGGAGCCAAAAGGAAGGTGAGGGGGGAGATCCTTTGTCTGTGCTGCATGAGTGGTGATCAGTTTCCCAGCTTGGTGCAAAAGTTTATATGTGGCGGAATGATTGTCTGTTATCAGCGCTATTCGTTTTTTTTTTTTGTTTAGTCGTTTGTTTCTAGTCTGCACACAATCTGATTTTTAGTGTTTCCGTTGTTGCATTTAGCAATTTTTATATTACTCTTGTCATAAATGTTGTTTGGTAGCTAAGGCACAAAAGGTCTATTTGCTTTGTTCCTGTCAAAACCGTCTGTGATCTTCTATATATGATAGACGTAATAAGTCATCCCTCTTGACTCCAGTTGCTAACATTATGTAACAAACACATGTAGTACTGCCCTCTTGTGATTCTAAATATTACTACAGTAAAGTATGACACCTGCAGGTATCTGTACCATATTGAGATGAAATACAAGCTTTTGTGTTAATACAGTGTTTGGGAGAATTATCTGGCATAATGGAAAAACTGACAAAATTTTGCATTAGAGCAATGAACATAATTAAGACCACTGGCCTTTCTATCTTCTGCCCAATATTTCTGTGCTGGATGACTTCAAAGGCAGTGTAGGACTGTAGCTTTTCTTGTTCAATGAACAATTTAAAGGTGTTTTTTTTATATATATACCTCCCATAATTTTAATGTCAGTATTTAAAGGTTGTAACTTGGCTCCAGAAGGGTGAAAATGTTGGCTTCTCCTGCTGGCATGATCAGTCTAGGGTAGCATGACCTCTGGAGCAAAATACATACATAAAAATTCTAGGGCAAGCTGTATCAAAGAGATTCCACTGGTTTGTGAACAGAGTAGTATGTCATTGATTCTGTGGTTTTTGCCCTATTTTTGCTCTGAATTGTGCCAATGGGCCTTTCATAGTGTCAGGACATGAACGCTTTGTGTGTCTCTGCTCAGAGGCCCATCCTCAGGCGCAAGAGAGGCAGGAAGAGGAAAAGGATCAACAGCAGCGTGACGACAGAGACCATCTCCGAGACCACGGAGGTGCTCAACGAGCCCTTTGAGAACTCCGAAGACGAGAGGCCCATGCCTCTACTGGAGCGCACTGGTAGAAATGGAGAGACTGAGGAGGAGGAGGAGGAGGAGGAGGATGAAGAGGAGGAAGAGTCCAAGTTGGTCAGGAAATCTATGGCTCGCCACTGGGACAGGCAGAGAGCTATGAAGGACATGGAGAAAGACAATCACAAATGCCAAAATGAGGCTGTGGCGGAAGGGCACCTTAAAGGTAGTGTAGCCTCTCATCCTTTATTTTTTCCCCCCATTTTAAAGAATATAGGTTTTAAATGTCTTATTCCTGAATAAGCTGCATCTCTATTGTCTTTATCATAGCAGTCGATCCTTTCAGACTTCTTTTGATTTTGGGGCTAAGACCTTTCAACCACAAATATGTAGATTTAGATGATTTTGATGTTTGTTTTTTTCCCACATAGACATTTTTCACTCCTTGTGGATACTGAATTAAATCTTTGTGAGCTTTGATTCACCTCACTTCAATTTACCCCCCCCCCCCTTTCTCATTTCCATGTAGTTTTGATGAAGGAAGACAATCCTCGGCCGCCCAAGCGCAAGAAAGGGTGGCCCAAAGGGGTTAAGCGAGGGCCCCCGAAATGGAGGCTCAAGAGGGAGCAGAAAATGGGCTTTAAGCTGAATCTCTATACTCCACCCGAAACGCCTATGGAGGCCGACCATCAGATCCCAATCGAAGAACCGAAGGAGAGTCCAGAGAAGGCTCCTGCCATCACAGAGGAGGATGTCGAACCTGGAAAAGATGTGGAGCCTCTGGATGCAGAAATTGATACTCTTCTCTCAGACCCCCAAGCTCCTGAAGTTTCAACCCCCAAGAAACAGGACCAGTTTTTTGACAAACTGGGTTCTCCCGAAGATTCCTTTAGCCACGACGAAAGCCAAGAGGATGCTGACAATGCAGTAGACGATCAGGACGAAAGCAAGCACATGGTCGACGAGCAGGAGCACAGTACGCGAATGGATGAGATTGACGAAGATGAGGAGGAAGAGGAGGAGCCGGTGCATGTCGAAGATCATGACGCTGATGATGAAGATGATGGCCATGCAGATTCAGCTGATATCGAAAAAGATGGGAAAGTGCAGGACGCTTTAAAAGATCCAGAAGAATACAAAGAACCTTTTTTAGATCCAAACGATCTAAACGGCCAGGAACCATGTCAGGAGGACCCAGCTCCGAGCTGCGACGGAGAGCTCCCTCCCACTGCCAGCAAGGGCATTGAGGAGGTCACGGCTGACTCGGAGCGTCCTGTGGATTCGGAGTCTGATGAAGAGCACAATCGTGAACTGCACCAAAAGGAGAGCGAATCCCTGGGATTGGTGGTAAGAAAGGGCGCTCATGCTTCCTGCCACGAGATCGATTCAGAGACTGTGCAGGCAGTCCAGTCGCTTACCCAAGAAGCTGAGCAGGACAGCCATTTCCAGGACTGTGCTGAAACGCAGGAGGCTTGCCGGAGCCTGCAGCGATACACTCATATAGACCAAAGCCCCCAGATGGCGCCCCTGGACGACTGTCAGCAGTCAAATCACAGCAGCCCCATGTCATCGGTCCACTCTCACCCCAGCCAATCTGTTCGCTCCGTCAGCAGCCCCGCCGTTTCCGTCTTGGAGAGCAGCTACGCGCAGATCAGCCCCGACCAGGGTGCCATCTCCATGCCATCCCTGCAAAACATGGAGACGAGCCCCATGATGGATGTCCCCTCTGTTTCGGACCATTCACAGCAGGTCGTCGACAGCGGGTTCAGCGACCTGGGAAGCATCGAAAGCACAACAGAAAACTATGAGAACCCAAGCAGCTACGACTCCACGCTCGGGGGCAGCATATGCGGGACGAACTCCTCGCAGAGTAGCTGTTCCTACAGCAACATCTCCTCCAGTGGCCTGTCCCAGAGCAGCTGCGCTGTGACGCAGCAGATGGCCAGCGTCAACGGGAGCTGCAGCATGATTCAACAGAACAGCATGAGCTCTCCACAGAGCTGTGGGGTTAAGTCCCCCCAGGGCTGTGTCGTGGAGAGGCCCCCCAGTGGAAACCAGCATCACCAGCAGCAGCTCTCTCAATGTGGCATGCCTACCACCTTCACTTCGCCCATGCAGCTCAGCGACATCCCAGAGTCCGGCAACCCAAACCTCGGTCTCTACGAGCGGATGAGCCAGAGTGACTACGCCGGGGGGCATTACCCCCAGCCGTCTGCCACGTTCAGCCTGGCCAAGCTCCAGCAGTTGACCAACACGCTGATGGACCACCCTCTGCCTTTCAGCCATTCGTCCTCGCACCCCATCACATCCTATGCAAACACCGTCCCCCTGTCTTCGCAGCTCAGCAACTCCGGCCTTGTGTCATTGCCGCAGTCCCCACACGCGGTCCCTGGGGGACCCCAGACACAGGCCACCATGACCCCTCCCCCAAACCTCACCCCCCCGCCGATGATGCTACAGCGCAACATGGCGGCGTCAAACATGGGAATACCCCCGTCACAGAGGCTTCAAACTCAGATGGCCGCCAAGAACCACATCTCGATCCGGTCCAAGTCTGTACCCTTGTCGCATCACCAACAGCAGATGTACGGCCGGACCCCACAGGGCGTCCCTATGCAGACCCCTGGTCGGACGCTGGCCATGCCTCGGATGAACATGGGGGTGAATCTTATGCCTGCACCAGCTTACAACGTGAATTCCATGAACATGAATATGGCCCCTCTCAATGCCATGAATGGGTACCGGATGACTCAGCCCATGATGAACAGCGGCTACCACAGCAACCATACCTACATGAACCAGTCCCCGCAATACTCTATGCAGATGGGCATGATGGGAACACAGCCATACCCCCAACAGCCCATGCAGGCTCCGCCCCATGCCAACATGATGTACACCCCAGCCAGTCACCATGGTTACATGAACGCCAGCATGTCCAAACAGTCTTTAAACGGACCTTTTATGAGACGCTAGTCTTCAGTTCTTGATCTCCAATAGCCCATTTTTATTTACAGTTTTTAATTTTTTTATTTATATAATTTTTTCCCCCCCCCTTGTATGTAGTTATTTTTGGTTACTCTATGGAAAAACCAGCACTTGGTAAGAATGCAAAAAAAGAAAAAAAAAAAAAAAAATGTTTTTGACACATTCTCTAAGCTTATTTTTTTTTTCCTGGTTTTTGGGAAGCCTTACATTAACAGATTTGATTTGATTTAGTGTCGTCCGCTCTCAAATGTATTTGATGATGAGCTTCAGCAAGAGGAGGCTTCTGTACCGGCTCTGCGGTTTTTTGGCAGCCTGGGTGATGAAGCTATTTAATGTGCCTGCTACCGATAGTGAACGTGTATTAGAGCCTTTCAGTCTACCTGTCCAACAGTACTGAAATTTAGTTTGTACCATAATTTATGCCTTTGTACGTTTAAATTATTGTACATTGTTTTATTTTTTGTAAAGTGACACTTAGCATGCTACAATGTCTTTGTTAGTGACAGTGCATTAAGTAGTACTGTACAAGTGTTGTGCTTAATAGCAAGCCATTTTAAAAATGTATGGCCTTCATTAGATTTCCCTGTTATGGGAGAAAGATTATACTATATTTTTGTTAATTCTAATACTGTACAAATTGTAAACTTAGTTTTGTTTTTGGTTAAGTTTGAAAGGTTTTATTGCTAAATGTGTATAATTCTGAACTTTTTGTAACAAATTTCCTTAAAGGAGGCAGCTTTCTGTTTTATAATGCAGACTGATTTCTGTCTAAATAATGAAGCATATCTCATATTTGTACCCGAAAAGTTCTAAAACATTTCAAAGTATGCGAACCGAAATGTGGCAGAATTTTAAAAAGTAACGCTGATGAAGATAAAATAAATTTAGTCCAAAGTTGTATTTTATGGAAATGCCTTTAACTTTACATTTTCATTCCATCTGTAGATTTGTTTTCTATCTTTATAAGATGTGGGATTTATATTTTACGAAAGCGTAGAGCAGTAGCCTGTGAATAGAACAAACTAAGCTAATGAATCGCATGTAAAAAGCAAATTGTACTCGTGTCTGTTAATACTCCTTTTTTTTGTAGCCTTTGTACCTGTACAGAGTGGCTGGTAGGAATGAGAGGGGAAAACCTGCTTATGTGTACAAAATAGTACAGAACAAGTCTCGTATTTATGAGTTATCTTAGTCCCTTAAAATGCTGTACATTTTAGCATAAAATAAATTATGATGAACCATGTGTAGGCTTCTGTTATTTGTTAGCTCATTGAAAAGCTCGTGACAGTTGGATGTTCAGACTTCTCGTTAATTAATTGAGATTGTGGAATGTATATATGCTATCGGTCTTTAAGGAAGTAGCTTTGAGGCACAGAAACGTATCACTTGTCACTGAGGTTTTGTAAGCTTTAGCACCGTTGACCATGTGCCTCAAGTCATGGGCATGGATCTTCTGGGTTTAAATGGAGATGCTTGTCATTAAGCACGTGTATAGATCTTTCTTCTGGTCTTGCTGTGCTGTTGTAATTTTATCCTACCTGACCACAATTGCTTGATCCAATTGTCCTTTTTGTCTTAAGTGAAATTAGCTCTCCCCTGTCACTCTGCTGAATTTTGGGTCTTTAGCGGTTCCACATGCACTTATGGTGACCATCTTGAACATATTTGACTTTTATTAATAAAATGGTCATCAATAACCTTAAGGCGATTTTTGTGTCATGTAAAGATCCTGAGTTCAGTTAATCGCAAATGAAGCCTATTATGTCACTTGATGATACAAAAACATTAAGATGACTATGTACATTGTTATCCTGCAGTTTTTTAAATTATTTTTAAAAATGGAGATTTTTTCTTTTTAAGTTTATGCCCCAAGGCAAAGATTATCGAATAAGCTGAATGTCTTTTGAAAAGTAAAATAAAGCCAAATGTACAGGTATCATTAGAATGACTCTGTAATATTTTTCCCTCTATTAGTTGTTCATTTCTGGAACTGAAGTCGTTGTATGCTCTTTCAATGGAAATACATAGAGGCTTTTATTTTGACCCTTGTGTGTCATGCTCGTCCTTCGCCGTCTCTGTGTCGTGACCCATGTCACCGTCTGATCTCTCCAGCTGCCCTTGGAGCTGCATGTCCAGCTGCCGTAGCTGTTTTAAGAAGCCCCAGTTGGGAAGGATGCGCCGGTGCTGCTTCACGCGCTCGATGGCGTCCACGAGGGTCATGTTCTTGTGAATCATTAGGTAGGCCAGGAAGAGCGTGGCTGACCGGCTCCTCCCCATGACGCAGTGAACCAGAAGCTTGTCTGAAAGAAACGGCCAGATGCTGTTTTAATGGGTTCAAACTTGCTCCGACGTGTTTACTTAATCAGTCCTTTTCTACCACGTTAAGTACAATTGGAACAGAAGCGTTACTTCATTTGGGAACTGCTGTGGCTTTTTCATCTAATTTTTTTTTTTTTTTTTATCAAAAAAAATCCTTATACAAAATAAATGTTTCTCTAACTTACTAAATTATATCTAATTGGCATACTTTTATCTCTTGAGCATATATTTTGTCTGCTTATGTATTACTAATTTCGTCATAGTACTCCACGTAAGTGTAAATAACTAGACAGGCTTATAACCTACTCTCCGGTCCGCTCAGTGCGTAGTCGATAAACTGTGCAGCCGAATAGAAGAACTGGCTTAGGTTGAAAGTTGGAATGTCCTCTGCTTCTACTCCATAGTAGTCAATGTTCATGTCGCTGTAGTAGTCAGGCCCAGTGTCCACGCTGTTCTTTTTCCCTTCCGCCGCATTCAGGACGTGTGTCATTCCCATCTTCTTAAGGACGTAGCGATTACGTGCAATCTCTCTGCTCAACAAATTTCTACCAGTTAACGTTGACCCCCACCCCCAACATGCACAAATACACACACAAAAACTAAAAATGTCTAAATAGGCTCATTATTGACTTAAATAAAATGGGAATTTTCATGCACAGTGCTTATATAAAGGACACTTTTTTTAATGACATCATATTTCATCTAGTAATCACCCTTCTGAAGGAAATCATTGATGCTGCTTATTCATTTGCATGGGGTTTTATAAAGCCATTTCCAAACAATAGGAAGTCTGTCTTTCCTCAGTGGGCAAGGTAATTTACAGAAGGTGAAAGTTCAGAACTGTTGCCAGTCTACCCCAGAGTGGGCATCCCACCAAATTTACCCAAAGATCACGCCACACGCTATGCTCTAATAGGCTGCATGAACCACGAGGCTCCATCCAGGGATCTGCAGCCCTCTGTCAACATGGCAAACATTAGACTTTAAAGTTCTCCTATAAGGAAAATACTGAAGATGAATGGCTTTCAGGGAGGGGTAATCAGGAGGGAAGCCTCTCTACAGCTTCGGTTTTCAAAATAGCACTAGAATAAACCACAAGTGTTCTGGAACGGTGTCCTCTGGACAGACAAGACCAGAGCGGAATCCTCTAGATGTAATGTGAAATGTTGCATATATCAAAAAAAATCAAGCACTCTGTCATCACAAGAACCTCAAATGAACTTGGTGGCAGAGAGGTGATGACTCGGACGTGTTCTGTGGCTGCAAGACTCAAACACTTCTCTCTCAAGGAGTCTACTGTGAATTTTTCCCTATATCAGTGAATTCTTGAGAGGGATGGTTTGCAGAAGAACTGGACTGCGAAAGAGGACCAAGAATCAAAACCACTACATGTACAACTGAAAGAATGTGGATGTTGGAATGCCCAAGTTCAAACTTCAACCCTGTTGAGATGCTGTGGTGAGTGTCTCGACTTCTCTCAGGCAATGAATAAATAATGACAGGGTAATTTCTATTGTCACGCAAGGTTAGGTTTATGTACCACTGGTGCTTGGTGAACACTAGATGAAGGTCAGATATGTCTTATTACGTAAAACCATAGATCCTAAGGGGGTTAGCTTTCTTTTCCAAAACCTATATATAATTATTTACTTAGCATCAAGTAACTAAAATTTGTATGTTACATTATTTTGGTATTGTTAAGTACCAAACGTTTTGATAGGTGCTTGAGAACTGAATAGTTTGAATTTTTTTCCTCAATATAATCTGTGGTTTATTTTGATGCTATTATGTTGTGCCTTGCATTCTACATGATAGTTTTTTTTAGAGGTTGGCTCACTTACTCATCGCCAATGTAGACGTTAGGCCAGACCTCATTGACGTGAGCATATGCTGCAGTAGGACCACGACAGAGGATCTTCTCGAGTTCATATTCCCTCGGCGTAAGATATCCATCCACTGAATCAATCGGCACCTTTTCATAAATGATCTTCTGGGATGTCTTTGAGCAATAAGAAGCCATTTTCTCCCGAGTAACTGGTTTTCACACGTGTCCAACGGCTTTGGTGATCTGTTCCCTAGAGGACTAACACAGATTTGCTGTTTAAATTTGAGATGAAATCAACTCAATATGTCTTGTGGATTTTTTTTTGGAACTAAGCTTAATTTGCTTTGGAATATGAGTAATTTTGCAAATGTGCGCAATTGTTGGTTAAGTCGTCCATTTTTGAAGATTATGGCCTGTGTGAGAAATGTTACTATATTGATGCTGTATCCATACTTAACTGTTAAAACAGAAGTTTAATAATGTGAATAAGCCTTTGCTATCAATTTGTTATTCTACTGTCTTGGTTTAGAAGTAAAAGAAATTGTCTGTGTTACAAAGTCTTTGTTAACATTAAACCATGTAATCACACATTTTTCCAGCAAGCCAACAACTTACCAGTGCTCCCCTCGATTTCCTTTTCTCTCGATTACATTCGTCAGCCACACCATTTAAGGTCATCGTCCGAGAGTGTCCCAAATCGTTAAGGCTGTTGCCACCGGCATTCTTATTGTCGAATGTGTTGTGTAAGACGAGTAGCAGATTTCCCAGCCTGCACCCTGTCGTCTGCAGGGGGCTGGGGCAGGGCAGTATGGCTTCTGCGACTGGCGTCGGATTCTGTCGGGTATTTTTAGGAAGCTGATCCGCAAGCTTTGACCTTAGGGAGGCATTGCCTGCCTTGCAGGGCAGAATCTCCCACCCTCTACTCTACACCCTCCATGTCTGCTTGGCTCTCCTCTCATAAACAAGCAGGCTGCAGCAGTTAGACTCTAATGCTGGGCTGAGGCCCATCCTCTGTGTTCTGCTATCCTGAGGGACACCCATGCTTTCCCATCAGCTAGGCGCTTGGACCTGCAGCTTAATTCAGGATATTCCCTTTGAACATACCATAATACAGCGGGAAAAAAATCCCTAGTGCAAGGTTCTCTAATAAGTTCTTTTAAGAGGTGCAGGATTAGAAGGATAAAGTCAGATAGGTTTCAGAGTCGTAAACCTAAAACATTTATTGTGGGGCTTTTAATTGGATTATTGGAATACTGACAAGCTCATCTAGCCTTAAGGAGTCAGGTATGAATATAGTGCTTGCAACTTGAGGTCTTACTACAGTGACAAAGAACTTGAATACCCTAGAGCAGCAATGAGATGTTAGAGGTGCCACGCAAACCAGCATAGTCCTATTATGCTCACAAAGTGCTGATTCTGCTCTAGAATGATGTTTTCTAGGCTTCTGCTTGCTGAGTGGTTGTCTGGGGAGTAGCGCATCTTCTACAACAGTGCAACAAGGACAGGAGCTGTGAGTGCAGTGAGTACACACTGTCATTTTAGGACAGTTTTTTTTTTTTTTGCTTGTGTTTATAAGAGATTCCCACGTTTAACCTTAACACCCTGTCTTTTGCACCTGAGAACTAAGCACAGTGCTTCAATAGGTGCTGCTTTCATAATCATCTAGTCTGCATTTGGTCAAGTCAACTTTTCCTAGTTTAGTTATATGACTTTACACTGCTGGATGTTCCCTCTGCTCCAGTTAAAGAGCTTTCCCCAAGGCCCCAAAATCTTATAAAAGCTTTCCGCTGTTTGAAACTGCCAGTGACATTCCTTAGCCATTACGGAAACGCATTGTTTGCAGCATATCATTTAGCATTAATTATTTAGCCCAGTTTCTGAAGCATTTTTGCCTGTAACTAACTGCTATATTGATTTATCGCGTCAGTTTTCTTTCGGATGCATCACTTGCATCAGTTTGTTTTTTCCTTTTAGCTCGTGATATTTATACGGCGGAGACTGTAGTAACCCTGATAATGTCTTGGAACGAGCATAATGTCTCCAGAGAGGCGGTACAACCTTATTTACACTTAGTCAATTATTCCTTTCGCAAGTTGCCTGTCTGTGGGATCTCCCAGTGGCAGCTGCCATTTACTGCTATTTATTATGAGTAGTACATCTCAAGGGGCCCAGGCTTGATGTCTAATCAAAATGGTGTTGCCGGTGCTGAACTGCATGTAATCTCAATAATGCGAGTCCTGCAACTGTGATGATAATTGTATTTTAGAGCCCAGCTTATGAAAAGAACATATGCATTATGTCAGCCGCAGGAGTTTCAAACCATTATTCTCTTGTATTTAGAGTCTTCTGTCCAGACCCAGCCATCATTCATACTGACGGTGAAATCATTAAACCTCTAACGCATTTTGACAGGACCTATTTACCCATGCATTCTCAACAGCTTGTTGTTCTGAATCGACTCATTTATCTTGTATAATCTTTGTCTAGTAAAGGGCTATAATTCAAATAATACAAATTAAATTTGTGTACAAAAGCTCCCGAAGAAATAGCAATTCACAGTGTAATAAATCTCCAGTAGCATAGACGTTGATGGTTAAAGCTCACAATTATAGTTTTTCATGTTTTCATGTGTAGTGTGTTGTTTAAGAAAGCAGAAAGTAGAGAGTGTTCCAGGCCAAACTAAATGCGATTGTGGTGCAGCAGAGAAACGACAGCTCGAAAGGATGGCCAGTATTTATTGTTTTCAAAAGCAACCCTTGTCCCCCACATCTCTACCGACTGTGTGTAAACAAGGGCTGACTTCACCACACACCTTCATACATACTAGGAATTGGATTTATGCATCTTTCCCCAGTGCACACCCAATTGCCCCCCGCGGTCTGCTGACTTTGGAGACTGGCAGTAGTCAGTGCTCCCCTCTGGGCCGCGGATGATGGACTCGCTAGTATTCGGGTAGCGGAGTGCCCAGCTTAGCTGCGCCAGAACCCTCTTCACCTTTAAATCCCCTTTAAAATATTGCTGTCACTTCCAATCTTGTTACCTCTCTTTCTGTGAATCCTTTCCTCCGGCCCTTGTGTTACTACGGGTATGAACGCAGTTTTACATGCAATTTTCATGACTGTTCATTCGTGCCACTGTGTACGCATTTTAGCTAAGTTGACAGTTGGGTATATTGTGGAAATTTCCGTTATAATTCATGTATGTTTTTTTAGAACTGCAAATCCAGTTACGGTCACAGAGATCTGGACTGTATGCCAGAAGACTGAGGCACAAATCTGGGCATTCTTGCATACGCATGCAGGCATTTTGCACTGCACTTGAAGATACACTTTCTATGAGTCCTGCTGTGACTTCATTGTAGCTAACTTCAGGTCCAAATGGTGCAGCTGGCTCAGAAACCCTGCATTAGGAAGGATGTTCCTGTGCTGCCGGACAGCCTTGATAGCCTCTGCCAGAGTGAGCTTCTCGCAGATCATGAGGAAGGCCAGCACCAGCGTGGCAGATCGACTGATTCCCCGTGCGCAGTGGACGAACACTCTCCCTGAAAGAGATGTGCATTGGCCCCTGAAGATGCCACTGAACACTGATATATGCTAAGGCTGAACAGTATCGCGATATGTGAAATATCCACAAGTAATACTGTGATATTTCTAAAACGAGAAATGAGGAAATCACCCAAAATAAACTATAGCCAAATATTATTTCTAACTTAATTTTTAATAATTGTTAACTTAATATATCGATACAGTGTGTAAAATAAGTCGGTGGTGTTGCCGCAAGTTGTCAATAAACACATAGCAGTGCTGAAGAATGCGATGTGATTATTGCACGTGTGCATATTGCAGTGACGATTCTGAAACAATATACTATGTAGCCCTGATGTGCACAAACTTTTAGCACTCAGATTTAAACAAGATCAAAGGATTATGGTGAAATGAGAACGTGTCAGTAGGAGGGGTTATGAAGCAGTCACTAAAGGTTTACGTGAGAAATGGTGGCACACAATTTACAATCTCCATTGTTTCGTTAATAAATAAATGAACTGCTACTTCAGGTGACGGACTTGCCTTTTTGGGAAAGTGCCTCCCGCATGAATTTCGCAGTTGGATAGAAGAAGGGGGTGAGGTCAAAGTCCCGGTGATCTGCAGCCTCCACACCGTAATAAGTCACGGCCAAGTCTGAGTAGAAGGCGGGGCCAGTATCGATGTGATCTGGACCACTGGCGGCATTCACAATGTGGGTGATTCCCAGGTGTAATAGTAACTGTTTATCACGAGCTGTGGATCTACATCAAGAGGCATTAAAAATCTTTCATTTCTGACCAGGAAAAACGATGGATGGATGGAGGAACAGGTGGGAGCATGGATGATGGAGGGGTTGGTGGGTTGATGATGGATGGATGGATGGATTTTTGCAGCTAATGCTTTCACATTGAATACACATAGTAACTGGTTTTGTCGTGTGTGTGTGTGTGTGTGCGTGTGAGAGAGAGAGGTTTTTTTCCTTATAATATTCACTCAATGTGTTTGTTTCCCTACCTCATCAAATCCTTTAACACATGTACTGCCAACTCCATACCAGTAACACATTTCTGTTCCCAATGATCTGCCATTCTCCTTAAAAAGTAGATCGACTCTTTTGCCAGACTGGCTCTCCATCAGGTTGTGTAACAACCGTGTGTCCAGCTGGAACTGGTGATATATAATGTGTTTTTATTTTTTTCTATCAAAGCGTTATTTGTGACTTGTGGTAAGTGCTACTTACGCGTTGCCTATGTACACAGCAGGCCAGACCTCATTGACTGGTCCTGTAGGGTGTCTGCCTTTCAGCAGGAGGTGCAGAAGGTCCGGAATAGGCGGCGTTTCATACTCGTTCCCCTCCTGATTTGAACGTGATTCCTTCAGATCCATTCTGCGAAAGGCTTTACAGGCATTTCACAATACTAACAAGACCTCGTTCCACGTATGTATGCATGGAGATTTTACTTCTATAAGACTGCTCTTGCATCATATCTCAAGTAGAAATCCGTTAGTATTATTATTTTAATATTAGTTGCAGTTGCTGAGTAATGTATTTCGCATGATACTTTTGTTACTGTATGAGCTGCATATGCAGTTTTACAAGTCATTTTACAAAAAGCTTCCAAAGCTGCTAATAAATTCACCTTGAGCACTGGCTTTCAGCAACAATGTTACAATAAAACATAACAACCATCTCCCCAAATTTGCTCAAAATTATTCTAATGTGGATGAAAGAGATGATTACCCAAGCAGAAACCGTGTAATATTTTATGTTAGACACTATTAATTCTCAGCACTTAATTCTGGGCATCTGCTATGCACGCTTTGTTTCTACAAAGCTGACTTGTGATTTAACTTTTCATTTATGCCTCCAAAAGTCAATACAGTACTACAATTAAGCTGCATGACTTAATCATCCATTGATTGTTGATAATACCTGAATAGTGATTAACCATTTGGTGCCTATTGTTAGACGAACAGATTAAGCAACGGTAATAAGCCAAGAAATTGTTTATGTGACAAATGTATCGTTATTTGTAATCAAGTTGGGGAACCCCCTTAATTTTTTTGAAAATAAACACAACTCATTGATCTAAATTCACCAATGCTCTGAAAATGGCAAAGACTCATCTCACGTGAATTTTGCCTCTGTGTACATTATTGAACCAGGTCCGTCATGTTTGTAATGCAAATAAATGAGCGTGTTTGTTTTCAGATGGCCTTGTAAACTTACTTATGGCTGACACAGTCTTCTTTCTTCCCCCTGCCGAGTGCCTGCTTCATTTTCCAGCCCTGGGAGGTGTCTGCTGCAAGTTCCAGGGTTATTTTTGGATGCTGTTTCCCTTTTTAATGCTGAAGAGGTCTGTAAAACCTTCCAGCTCCCGAAAGCGTTTCTCTCTCGGAGCAAGCCGATGTATATCTCCAAGGTGCATTTTGTCGATAGTGTAGGACACTAATAAAATGGAAGAATAGAGTATTTGAGTGGACACGCTACTGGATTATACTGTGCTACTTTATTTGAAAAATTCAAGCGCTCCCTCAGCAGACCTTGTGTGAAACACTGAGGTCATTGTTAATTACAGTTAATTTTATGAAGTCAGTAGGTTGCCAGTCCCTGATCCCAGTCAGGACACGCTGACCCAGGACATTCCTGTTTCCAAGCCGGACTTTATATACGAGGAACTTGGCTGCAATGTAAAAACCTATAGTGATAATTCCAGAACAATGTCAGCTAGACTGATCAAGCCAATGGTTAACTGAAACAGATTGTGCATGTCAGTGAGGCATCATTTTCAATGAAGCTGCAAGATGTATAAGACCTTGCTGCACAAAAACAGACCCAAAGACCAGTTAATGAAAAGATGTTTTATGGACTGATGTAAATGCGGGTTTACACTTCAAGAAACCAAGAAAGGAAAACAAAAGCTGTCACGGCAAAAACACCATTAGCACAGTGAGACCTGAGCATCGTGTTTCTACGACAGGAAAAGCTAATAGCTCAGGGAGGCCAAGTGCATCATTGTTGCAATTTCAGCCTTTAGAAATAACTGACAGCTACAAGTCTTTACAAAAAGGCTTTCTCCTCCAGGGCGTACGACTAACAGAACAAAGCAACAAAAGATAACTGACCGAAAAAAAAAACCCGAAACCACCCACGACAGGTTTGAGCCTGCTGGAGAGCGCTTTTCATTTAATTTCCGGTTATATAACATTATCGGGATGAAATACATTTAACAATCTTGATGTGCCAGGATGAATAAAGTTACGAGTTGACAACTAGCTTGTTAAAAGAGATCAACCAAAACAGGAGCCATCTTTGAACAATATCTAGCTAAGCACCTCACCTTTGTAAAAATCGAGCCATTATTGTGTATCTATGCCATTCAGCATAGAGGTTACGCCCTAATTGTCACACAAACCGGGACAACTGGAAAGCTTTTCGTTCTTTATTTGTCCAGTGGGTTAAAACGAAATGACAGCCAATGTGTGAGTAAGGTGATAGCTGAGGAAAGGGAAACTGCAGCTATTTTCATTTCCCTTTTCGGCAATTAACCCAGAATCTACGAAACTACTGACAAGGCACAAAATAAATTAGCTAGCAACCACCCATTCTTAGCCATTCAAAGATGGGGGATGAACACCTTTTCGTATTCCTGAGTTGGGATCCCTTTATTTCAGATTTATTTATAATGCATTTTGTACTGTCCGGGGCAACAAATTAGCCTTTAACTGGCGAGCGCTTAATCATTTTTCGGAGGGAGTTCATTTCCCCAGGCAATGTAACTGCTGGTCGAGCTTGCGAAGCTGCTCCAGGAAGCCGGAATTGGGGCAGATGTTCCTGTGTTCGCTGACGGCTGTGATGGCCTCCACCAAGGTCAGGTGCTCGTGAATCATCAGGTACGCCAGCACCAGTGTGGAGGAGCGACTCAGGCCCATGGCACAGTGGACAAAGACCCTGGCTGCAGGTAAATAAAAACAGCCGTCCTCATACAGAGCCACACTGTGCAAATCCTCCAAATAAGTGAAAGCGGTATTCAACACTGCCAGCTCCGTGGTTAACATACCAGAACCAAAGTTTGAAAAAACTGTCTGTGTTACTGTTCTGACTGACACTCCAGCTAAAACTGCTATTTTAAGCATCACGGAGAAAGTGACTGCAACCCTAAGTACGACAGTGTAGAAAGTGGAAAAAAAAAAATGGCCCCAACCGTTTTCGCTGCAGCCTGCAGTGGAAGCATTTTGCCCCCTGCAGACTCAAGTATGAACAGCAACCATTATGAGTTTGTGATTGTGCTCGGCTTAAGAGTAACTTCACCATTTTAATTTGTAAATTGGCTTCATTACTTGACTCACTTCATTACATTCCAATTTCAGAACAATTTCTACAGAAAAATCCATTCTGTGTAATTCAGTACACTACATTAATTACCCAAAGAAATATAATAGAATTAGTTTACACATCTATCTATCTCTCTCTCTCTCTCTGTGTGTGTGTGTGTGTGTGTGTGTGTGTGTGTGTTGTAAATGAGGATGACATTTCTCCAATTCTCAAATTTCTTTATAATTTGGAAATGCTTACAATTCTGTCCCAATCTGGGACTAAATATTCCAGTTTGGTGAGGCTTTCATCGCTTGATGGTTGAATTTTGCCACCATTCTGTTTATGTGTTTATACTTGCACGTGAATACATTTCAGCACAAATGACCTAGAGAATACAGTATAAGCTAACTCTGTCATTATATGCTGCCCAATTGGCGATCGGGGGATGATAAAATGCCCTTATTTGGACAAGGATTTGTAATTACTGCAAGCGCCAAAATATCCAGTCAAAGAAATGCTTCTATTTGAAGGGAGATTTAATTTTACGATATACGGGTTTTACACCAGACAAACTCTGTGTAATTAGAGCTGCTTAGACTAAAAACATAATCGTTCATAAACATTACACTGACTTCTCATCTACAGAGAATATTATTATGGGTGGTATGAAGACACACAGAACATGTTAAATTCATGTCGGTAAGATTTCTTTGGTCACATAGGCAACAATTACTTCTATCCATTGTGTGATTTGTTCACCTGTGTAACAGTTACTGTCCTCCCCATAGACACAGTATTAATAATAAATAAAGGATGCTAGTGAATAAGGGATGAAGACACCTGGGCGAGGAGTGAAATAGGTTGTGGATGAATAAGCCAGCCTTCTCACCTGTCGGATCGCTCAGGGCATCCTTGATGAATCTGGCTGCGGAGTAGAAAAAGGGGCTGATATCGAAGGAAGGCATGTCGAAGGCCTCCACGCCGAAGTAGGCCATGCCAGTGTCCCGGTAAAAACTTGCCCCCGTACAGACGTTGAACTTCCCGTCAGCCGCATTCAGCACATGAGTGATGCTATGAGACTGGAGAGCCCGTTTGTCTTTGGCTGCCCACCTAACAATCGAGGGGTTATCGCGGAGATAAGGTCACGGAGAACTTTTTTCCCCGACTCCAATTCATTGGAGAGCGACATGCATAATATACTTTTTTTTGCGCCTTTGCTGCAGAAATAATAGTCGTGAACGATCTGACCTCCTGCACCTGGTGGGTAACGCATGCATCATGCGACCACGACATTGAAGCAGCGCTCCTGAACCCCTTACATGTCTCCAATGTATATCCTGGGCCTGACCTCGTTCAGGTGCGCGCTGGTCCCGCTATGTTTCCACATCAGCCGTTGCAGGTCATAGGCTGAGGGTGTCTCGTACCTGCCGTTTCCCCCCCCGCGAACGGCATCGTACCTGCTCCCCCTTGGCATAGCGGAAATGTGGAAGACAGCTTCTGTTAAAAAAAAAAAAAAAAAAAAAAACTCTCTGAGTTACACCTGGATTTTCTGGGGCCATTTTTCCGTGGTTCTGACATCTTGTGAGAGCTTAAACACTTTAATAGTTAAACATCATATCTCCATGAAGTGGCAAAAGACAGATACAGGGGATCCCATACTTCATTACATATACTGTATGTGATCATTTTTAAGATCTGTCTAATTCAGCATTTTATATTTTTATGAAGGTGAATTCTGGGACACTGGATTTCCCCCCGTTATTCTTCATATGGTTTAAATAGTAAAAATAAACTGAGGATTCTTAAAGTGTAAACCTATGAGTTTTTTTCTTATCAGAAATTGGTGGATTTGCGCTTGCTTACAGTGACAGCGTTTCCTGACATGAAAGCCCCCAGCAGTATTAGAGAGACATCTTCCAGCTCCCGGTAATCCTTAATAAAATTGGATCGTCGGGCAATGACGTGTTTGCGCCCAGTTACCTGCTACAGTAAGTGCCACTAAACAAAATGATGTCCTTCTTATTGCAGCCCTTGGTTTTGTGTGTGTCTGCTTCTTACTCGTTTATTTATTGGGGCCGTGCAGAATAACCGCCAGCGTCCTTGCCTGCTCATTACTGTGATCTTCATACTGTGGGGACTTTCTGAGCCGGGCGCTCTGCTCAGCTGGTGGAGGGCTTTCGTGCGCGTCCGCGGGGATGAGCATTGGAAACAAAATCTGTTTTGTGGCTTAGCGACCTTTTCTAAATTTGGTGCAGCTTAGAGTGGAGCGCTCCAGCATCTGCTTGATAGCCTTATCCATCTCAGTATCTGTCAGGCTCCCTGAGGGACTTACTCTGTGGCACATTAATACCCTGTGCGCTCTCAGAGCAGCGGTCCTCCGTGCCAACTCGAGGATCTCCCCCTCACTCCGCTGCATGGAGACTCCGTGAATCGTGCAGGCGAGACCTTCTGATGATATGGCGTGCCTGCTGCTGTTTTTGCTGTGTAGTTTCGAGAGTCACTATTCCCAGGGTTTGGTCTAGCACAGGGACTCACCTGGAAGTCTCTGCCACTAAAAATTGGCAGCATGGAATGTCCAGCTTGTCCTACACAATCCGTTTTCCCCAGTTTTCCTGTTGTCCTTACAATACCATTAAAATTTCCATGTGTGAATCGACTCATGATGGAAAAAAGACTTACCAGCCCCTGCTACTAGAGTTAATAATCACAGATCCGGTAAATCGCAAATCCTTCTCACTATAAGGATAAGGACCTTATTGAGGAATTAACTGACTGGAATCCTAAAGATTACGCTAGAGAATTAAGCTCTCCCAGCTCTGATTTTGAGCCATTTGAAAGTATCATTTCATAATAATTGTTCGTACTGCCCAGGTTAGGCTATTTTGAGGACAAGCCTGGGTTATAGGTCGTGTTTAGTTTTCCCATGTTGGAGCTGCATTTACTATTACATCACACTGGGTAATACGTACAGAAATGCTGAATGTTTGCAAGGTTCAAAGACAAAAATATGAATCCTATAACCTGCGACATTAGCAAATTAATGTAAGTTTAAGGTAAAATGTAAGGTATTACAAATCATACAACTTATATATTGGACAAAAATAAATGCCTCTGAATTATTATTCAAGTATTATTATCTGGCATTAACAGAGGCATTTAAAATTTTAGATACCCGTCTTTTAGATGCTGTTAATAGTCATTCGAGAAACAAAACAACGCGATTCTGTAAGGTTTGTACAGCCAAAGCTGCAGCATTTAGCGGTAAGGAGCATATTTACGGACAGCTATCTTACACGGACACACACAAGAACTTGCCTTTATATCCTGCTGGTCAAGATATTATTGAGTAGACCAAGAAGCCGTACGTCACGGTGAATGCTTTGTTTTCTCTGCTGCACGCCAGCGGGGAACATGCTGCAATTTGCTTCTCAGGGTCTTCTATTTTAATATATGAACGTGAACTCCGAATTTCTCTGGCACCATCTCTGGATGTCAACTGACCTACCAGCATGGAAAAAAAAAAAAGTTTCAGTGATACGTTAACATGATTCTGTTGCCGTGAAAGTAAGTCCTTTGATACAGAATCTTGTCACATTAGAGGCCCTACTTTTGCCTTGATGATAAAAACTGGGAGATCTAGTTTTGGCTCTGGCTCTTTGCTTGTGTGAATTTGCAGTTTTTTTTTTCTGTGTCTGTGTGATTTTCCTCCCAGAAGCAGGGGCACCGTAAAGAGGGGGAAAGTCAATACGATTCCAAGGGCCCCTGACTAACAGGGGCCCTCAAAATTTGGAACATAATTGGATTGGTCTGGATTGGGGGTCCAGTATGATATGCTTTAGTAGGGCCCAACATCCCTAGCGACACCCCTGCCCAAAAGCATGCAATTGTGGTAATTGATGGCTCTGAATTTCTCATAGTGTGTGAAATTGTACCCTGTGATGCACTGCCGTTTCCAGGAAAGCTCCATCTTCATGCTCCTGTGTGTGGACTTTCTCTTCTCCCTCTCTCTGCATGCGCTTCCTCCTGCAGACCACAGACTTGCGATTTATGTGAACTAGTGTCTCTAAATTCCAAGTAATGTGTGTATGTGTCCCATGATGAGTATCATGCACAATGATTCTTCTTTTTATAGGGTCAGTTAACAAAGAGATCCCATACCCATCTATCCATGTCAAACCTCTTATTCTGTTGTGTGTCTTAGGGACAAAGAAATGGTAATAAATAAATTGTAGCAAGTCTTTGGTACGTATGAAATATTTTTTTTTCATCAACATCTATAACTCATTTAAGCAATAATGAAGTAACTGAAGGATTTAGTGAAAAATTTATTACACAAGTAGTCGATTGTGGCACAACCTTGGCAGTAGCATATCTAACAAACAGGCATAGTTCAAACTTTAGTTTCCAATTTCGGAAAGAAACATGAACGATGGACGTAGGGCAGTATGGCAATTTGGATTCAGATCTGCAATGTTGCTTATTTATGAGTTTGGTCCAGTGTCCTGGCATGAAAATGATTACATGAGCAATCAGGGTGTAGCATAAGCAGAAATGAGAATTACGAGTTTTTAGACTTAAGGGCCAAGTACTACTTTACAGTATTTATGATTGTGTCACCTGTAAAAACATGCTTTTTATTGAACACTGACATTCTGGAGTAATTTCGGCCCAGTGCAAATGAGAAAAATTGGGATAACTGTGCTTCAATTTTCTATTATTAAAAACAATGGGCAAATTGAGGTATTCATAAGTTTCTACAGAGGTAGATTTAGATCTGCAAGAAGATTCAAAATTCACATCTGAAACAGAGCAATCGCAAATGATGTAAACTCTAATACACAAATCTTATAGGAGTTAGAGAGACTCTAACCATGTGGTCTATTGATGCCATTCTGTTTTTCACTAGTTTGAGGTAACAACCATCACATTTATAATATTCACAGCAATTTTTGAGGTCATCATCTAGGTCAGTGTTTCCTAAACCAGTCCACAGGGACCTCCAGACAATCCATATTTTTGTTCTCTCCAAGCTCCGTCATGCCAGGTATTAGGAATTCTTCATTGGCTGGAAGCTCAGAAGGAGTAAAAATGTGGACTATCTGAAGGTTCTCGAGGACTGGGTTGGGAAACACTGTTCTAGGTGTTAGTTCTGATAGGGCTTGTATTAAAAGCTTCCTGAAATAACTAAGTGTATCAAGCCACTTTCAATTGGAAAGGGATATCTACCTTAATTAAACAATCTCTGTGATAACCTTAGAATCTACAGGATACTGAGTACACTGTGTGCGTTATTTACATTTATATGTATTGTTTCAAAGACTGAAAAACAGAAATTTTGTAGCAGTAAACGGTGCTCTAACCACATGAGGAACTATTCATTTTTATAACATAAATGCAAGGTGAAATTTCACACCTATTCCATTTAAAGTCATTATTTTAAGTGCATTTCACAGACTATTATATTAACCTGTATTATATCCTGTAGTCAGCATAGATGAGTTTATGTCTCCAGAATTTTCTGCAGCATCTTAATGGGACCAGACTGTCATGCTCCTCATTATAAAATGACACATATTCTCTTTTTTCTTTTCAGCTGAAGATCAAGATCTAAAAGCAGCGCTAGGAAATTCCTGTTGGGATAGATGGCCCTTTTCTTGATGACTTTCCGAATCGCGCTGTGGAGACTGAGGTGATGATACAGCATTAGGTATGCCAACACCAAGGTGGAAGATCGACTCATTCCCATGATGCAGTGCACCAGCACTTTCCCTGAGAGAAGGCAAAGTTAAAAGGGGATATCTGCAGAACCTCCATCATATAGTAATAAAATACATGACTTCCCACCTTTCACTGTATATCCGGTATTTCCTTTAGGTGCCCTAATATAGCGTCCCTCACTGTCAGAATCACAATGACAACTACACACCATGTCCTGTCCCTTTTTTACAAGGAGAAACATATGTAAGGATGTTTATGGAGTGTAATTATAAACTTCAGACTTGCAATGTGAGAAATCTAAGCTGCGTTGATGTAGGTACAGAACAGATCTTAAGAAACTTATGTCACAGAGTGCAACAAATAAGAAATGTATATTTCCTCTAAATAGTAGGACTACGTGGAAAGCAATGCAATAGTAATAATACAATAATGATGCCTCTGGCAGAAGCAATTTAAAATACAGCTACTGTGTCATTTAATCTTCAGAAGCTTAATTTTCCTTTCGCTCAGGTAAGCAAACATACCATCCTTTTCCTTTAATGCCTTGTGAATGAAGTCGGCTGCTGGTCTGAAGTAAATGTTCAGGTCGAAGTAGGAGGAGTCGTCTGCGGCGATGCCACAATAGACAAAGTTGCCGCCGTAATATTTCTGGTCACCTATGCTTCCTTTCTTTGAATGGGCAGCATTTAAAATGTGAGTGATGCCTAAATTCTGCAGGGCACTTCTGTTCTGCGCTATTGTCCTGACAAGACAACGAAAAGCACGTTAAGTTTAAGCCTAAAAACAGTGTGTGTCTGTACTGTCTATAAGATACTTATATCATGGTTATTTTTTCCTTCGTAAAAAATATACGTAAACATGTAGAAATTAATCCTACATCATATGACCACATATACAAAAATTCATTATATAATCTAATAAATTTAACACATGTATAACCAAGTATTTGTCTCCAACAATTGCACTGTCAAGAAAATTGAAAAATGAAGAATATAACATTAGACTGAACCATAAACTTTGGATTGTTCTGTTTGGATCTCAGTGTGAATGTCTTTTAATTATTAAAATGACTAATAATTTTCATTTTATATAGGTGTATGAAATATAAGTCTCGATATTATTATTGATAGAAACAAAAATACATACTTACACATTTCCAATATAAAGATTTGGCCAGACTTCATCTATTTGGGTCAGTTGTAGTTTGCAAGTATTCAAAACATTTTCCAGATCGGCAACAGAGAGGTATCCGTGTCCTTTTCCTTGAGAGCTTTTCATTTTATATCCGAATTTGGATCACACTAAGGCACTCTTGCCGACCGCCGTTCCAATCTGGCTCCCTTTTCTTTTCCCTGGTGCACAATGATTTAGCTGAACAGGTGTTCGCCGGGGTTGCGGGTGTCGCTGGTCGGTAACCCGATTTAGCAGGCAGCTCAGCGGGCAGTCTTGCTTTCTCTTCTAGTGCGATTTGGCAAACTGCAGTTCGTACTTTGCCTGCCGCAGCTGGGGTACAGGTGACATTAAAGGACAACTCCCCCTTATTTTCAGGGCTGGTAAAATATACTCATACACCGATAATTAGTGCTTAAATTTAAAATACAGGTTTATTTTAGGCCAATCTGCAGTATATATATATATATATATATATATATATATATATATATATATATATATATATATATATATAATTGTAGCACCCAAAGTGGTATTCACAGAGCAAGACTAAAATTCTTTTTAAAAAAAGACTTTTTATTCTTTTAAAAATAGCTATCAGCATTAAACTATGTGTTTTTAAAGGATCATAGATGTACAGATGTTTTACCCATCATTCCTAAGTTATGTCTCTGGTAGCTGGGATGTACCTCATGACCAGTTGGTCACATGACTTTACCAATGTATCTCTGTGAATGACGGGATCATTGTCCATGTCAGAGGCATGTACTAAACCCAGGCATGTGTAGTCCCTGCGTTAACCTGCAAATGTATTGAAATTGAAATGCTGACCTTGCAATTAATACCAACTGACAGTTCCTCACTACAAGTCTGTTACAGCTACTGCAAGTTCTTGTTTATACTCTTCAACCTTTTATCCATTTAACCGTTATCTATTGCTTTTTGTGATCTCCAAGCATGGAAATAGTGTTCCAGTCCAATGCCCTATAGTAGCATAAATTTTCAAGAAAGTTGGCCTAAGTCAATCCAAAAATATTTCCCTTCAAGAACAGCCAAGAAGTTCACTGACTGACCAACCATCACTTTTAGCCGAACATTACAGGTATAGCTCAACTGCTTATGCTCCCAAACCACTCATATTTTCCACTGGCTGCCCTTCAGAAGCAATGGAGCATCCATAAAATGCTACATAACACTTCCTTCTTTTGTACTCTTGTTCTCTCTCTCATTCCGGTTCAGGCTGGTGGTTGCCTGCACTTTTTTGCAAGGAGTTTCCTGGACTGCTGCTGTAAGAATTTACAATGAATCAGCTGAAGGAGACCATCTAATTCTCTTCTAATACTCTGGTGAGAGAGTATTGGGTATGCATCTTCCAAACCTGGTTTCACAAGAGAACCATGTAAAATGGCTCAACAGTGACTATATTATTCAGCTTAAGGGATTCATCCATCCATCCAACTTCCACCTACGTATCCAGGACCAGGTCACAGGGAACCTGGGGTCTATCCCAGGCAGTACAGGGTACAAGATTGAGGTTCTTCATTCGGTTTTTAGAACTTTAAATATATTTTTAGTTTAAAAATGGAGTGCACTTGACTAAAAATTGATTTCTATTAAAAGCAACTGAAAAATTACAGTCTCATTTTAATTAATTCAATATAATCCAATACGATCAACAGACTGCAAAATATAAGTAGTGAAAGTAAAGAAAAACTAAATTCTAATTAAAAAAAAACATAATTGAACAGAGTGCAAAAAGCACAGAAACCACTGGAAAATCAGATGGTAAAATTAAAAAGCCAACTACTAGGATTATGCTGAATAATATAAAATCATCTTTTATTAATAAAGACATGATTATCATTACCCATTGTTTAATTTTACATCATTTAATTAATTATTTTACTCTAAACATATTCTTCACGTTTTATATTTATATATAAAAAATATAAAATGTTCAGTCCAAAATGCTCACAAAGCAGATGGTAAAGTCTTTCATTTATTTTAGATAAAATACAGATTCACCCTGGGAAAAAAAAGCTCTTCTAAATACCACATGAAGTTTAGCTTTAAAATTGAGTAAATGTGAAGTTCTCTGAGTTTCCCTTCTCTCTGACTTTGCCCGTCCTCATTCTACGCTCTTTTCCCTGCGTAAAGTTGCATCTAGTCGTCTTAGCTGCTTCAGAAATCCTCGGTTTGGGAAAATCCACCTGTTCTCTTTTACCCTTTTAATGGCATCCATCAGTGACAAATGATGATATATCATTAGGTATGCCAGCACCAGGGATGCAGATCTGCTGACCCCAACTGCACAGTGGACAAAAATCTTGGCTGGTGACAGAGAAGATGTGGATTGCGTAAGATTACATAGCGCTGTGCTGAAAAAATCCTGATATCTATATAAAAGCCACCAGGAGAGGAACCACCTGGAATCAAGTTACAGCTAAAAGCACAAGATAAACATTGAAGTGTCCTTAAGCAAAATGAGTTTGCATTTTCCCAAACGGATGTTGTGCTGTTTTTGGTTTGTGCAGCTATGGACTCACCGTTTGGAATATTGAGAGTCTCATGAATATAATGTGCTGAGGGGTAGAAGTAGGGAGATAAATCAAATGTTGGCAAATCATTAGCTGGCACCCCATAGTAGTCCACAGTTGTCCCGTAAAAATCATGACTCCCCTGGCAACACATTTTCCCGTGAGCTGCATTTAGGACATGCGTAATGCCCAGCTTCCATAAACCATACCGGTCATGGGCCATCGACCTGCCATCGGATTAATGAGACAAAGACACACATGCCATAATTTACTGCGTAGCTAAACAAGGTAAAGATGCAAGTGCTTATTAAAGAAAAATTAAAGCCCTTACAGTAAGTCCTAACACAAATATTTCAGTTGTCCCAACTTACATGTCTCCAAGGAACAAGTCAGGCCACACTTCATCCACGTGGTTACAGGTCTTTTTACCACCATATAAAACACATTCCAGCTCTCCCACAGATGGGATGTCACACGAAGCACCGCTACTCTCCTTCATATCTGTCGACAGTGGACAATCATCTAAGTTCACACCGGCAGACATTGTCTACAGAGCACATTCGAATGTTGTCTTGATCGCAGTGATCTGTTGCTTTTCATTAGCCGATTCCTAAATTTGGATTATCACAGCTTGTCCAACAATGTGAGTGACACTAACAGTTGCAGCCTGGGCTTCGTCCGTGTTTGAGGATCGAAAGAGGGTGCCAGGCGATGCTTTTAGAGTGAAAATATGAACATAAGCAGAAATGGTTAGTGATTTTTATTTTAATATTAATTAATGATTTTATTATTAATTAAACGAAATCAATATAAATTCATTCGACATTATGACTGATTCAATGGATATCTCAGTTCGTCAATTTAGCATCCAGTAGTAAAGCCTTAAGTTAAACTTAATTTATGAACAGAGGGTCTTGCCGCATACAACGGACAGTGCAGCATCCGCCCACTAGGTGTCACTGTCGCGATTTTTTGAAGTGTTTTGCGCGCGGAGCGGCCGCTTTGACAGTCCTCGCGCTCTGCTTTTCCTGTTTACACTGATGCGCTGTCAGCTCACGTGTTTGACTCCAGCTAGCTAGCGATGCTAACGAAGTTAGCCTGCTAAGTCAAAGAGCGATGATTTGCGTTGACCCTCTCCATTGCGCTGTGATTCAAGACAGCATTCTCGGGCATGTGTGAAATCTCTACCATAAATATAATAAGCTAGCTGCCCGCTGGCTCCTGATGTTATCGGACAACCGAAACCTTCGGGTGAGTGATTCAAAAACGACCGAATTTAATTTAGGTTATATTTTTGGAATCCCTTCAGATGGCCAAATGTCAGCTGGTAGCTGTATATTTAGCTTAACTATATGCTCAAATCGTTAGTCTTTATTAGTTCTGTGGCGATTAAACAATTACACAGAAATAATCAGCTGTGCCAGTGAGTGTTTTCCTTGTCATTCTAGTTGCAAGCCGAATTTTAAGAGGTGTAAACGACGATCGTTAAGAGATGGCTTGCCAGGAGGGCTCGTATTGCGCCGTATTATTTACTGGGAGTTACCGCACACACCCCTGTTGTTGGTTTAAGGAGTTTGACCAGTATGGAGCAGTTTAGAGGCTTTTGTAATGCTGATTTAGCGCTTTAATTCTGCGAACTGTCATTGCAGAGTAGCCGTGACTGAGTCCACTTCCACTTTTCAGCGTTTTAATGTGTTGAAAGTTTAGCATGAAGCTACAGCCCCCGAGAAACACTGTCAAAGGTCAGCTGCCGTCCAGTCCGGGCGATTTAACAATGGATCACTGACAACAGAAGAAATTATCTTTCTGATTTTGCGGAGTCTTCGTGCAGTGCTTTTGGATGGGTATTACTGCTATATTAATATTTTGTGTTCCAGCATGTAAATGAACAGACAACTAGTTAGTCGTTGTGTTTTGCGTCACATTTGCATTTATTTAGCAGACATTCAAAACGGACTTTCAAGTGAGGCGCATAATGCATAAATAACAGTCCGAAAAGACATTAGTTGTCTTAAAATGTAAGCATTTAATAAGCATAATACCATATAATAGCCCGGATGACTGTTGTGTTTTTGTTTGTGTGTGTGTGTGTGTGTGTGTGTGTTTTTTTTTTTTAAATATGAACGTGGCTCCGGCTGGTCTTCAATTTAAAGAGTATTATTGGAATGTTAAATTTGTTGGTCTGTTCCTAAGATAATGTTTCTATTAGCATTTATAAGGCAATTGCTTTATGGTGGTCTGATTGCATTATTACATTGACTAATTACAGTAGAGCTTGGTTATGTCCTGGAAGAATGGTCAGTTAATTAGTATTTATTTTTTTTATTTAAATAACAATGTGTCACATCGCGAGAACTTTTTACAATGATTGCGAAATGTCTCTGAGCAGCCTTTCACGAATATGATTTTCTTTTTATCCCCCTCAGAAGACATATTCGGACGGGAACCAGCTCGATAATATAGAAGGCTTAGTAATGGACATAAAATCACAAGTATAAAAGAATAAGAAAGGAAATTATATTGTGCGTGTCTCGACAGTAATGAGTGTAATATATCTGCCGTATAACCAGATCTGGCCATTAATGCCAATCAAATGAAGACACTGTCATGTGTTTTTAGTACGTTTTTATACCACCTGAAACACGAATCACTTTTAGTGTCAGCCTCTCTGTGTTTAATCACTTAGCCTTTTTAATGTATACAATAAGAAACTGAAGCAAACACTGTTCTCACTCTTAACTGTGACATTTAATTTTAGATATCTAGGTTATTATGAAGCAGTAAGCTCGGCTTATCTACCAGGTTCTCTTGCATTGAGTTTGTTTTATGAATATGAATGTTTTTTTCATGTTTTACTTTGATAGTCAGACAGTTTGGGTCCTATGCAGCCGTTTTAGCATGAGAACGGAAATGTTGCTGGAAAATCATATCTGGAGATTCCAGTTTGTATTTAACGTTACATGTTCCAGAGTAGAAAATAACCGCATAATTGCTCATTTTGTTGGACTCCCTACTCCTAGTGTTCCTGGCAACAGGATGGTTAGTACAGAGGGATTCATTTTCCACGTATCATTATGGTGTTGCAGCAATAGAAACTGCCCTGGGTGTGGACACAGTTGCGCTAGGAGATGCTTGCCGATGGTGTGTAGTTGTGGTCTTGGACATTTGCGGACTGGGGGAGAGGTTGCAGTGTTTCGTGTGATGTTGAAAAGTAAGTTCGCTTCAGCTATTCCAAAAAAAAAACCAGGAATTGTTTATAGGCTGATGATGGGGCCCGGTGCAGTTTTGAGTGAAGATTATGTAGCGGTGTTTTTGGACATTGACTGGTTTAATGAAGACATGTCGTGATTCAGTTTATCTAAAAAAAGATAAAAGGTAAACTCTCACATGGTTTGGAATGTCTTTGCTTGTGCGGTCCCCTTTTGAAGTAACTGGGTGGCATTTAACACCAGAAGAGAAGAGTCTGTGGTACTATATGAAATCTGAGAGTGTGTGTTTGTGTCTGTGTGTGTGTGTGTGTTTTTGGGTACAGATAATTAACTGCAGAATAGGCTGTTAAACTGGGTGTGCCAGAGGCCCATTGGCGTTATCATTATTGTCGCACTGTTAATCTTGTGTTCCCTGTTTAGTCCAAAGTATAATACAAAGTTTGATTTCTCTTGGAGGCTGCGGAAGTCTCTCGTGTGAGACTGTTTCATTACGCAGCTTGCAAAAACATTGTCTCAGAATGGGCTTTCCTCTGTACAAACGAAAAGCCTTTGAGAATTCTGAAATGCGGCATGGAAGTTTGGTGTTGGCAAATTTCATGTAGCTTGTCCACTTGCGGGCAGGATGTTGCAGCTCGTGTGTTTCTACTCAGAAAGCAACAAAGTAATTTATTAAACGGATGCAGGTCATGTTAACAGAATACTATTTGATGGAATATTTAAAAAACACATTGAAAAGAATGCTTGTGAACCTGTGTGTCAGAATGATATGAAAATGCTTGGGATTTCTCCAGCATTTACTGTGATAACAACACAACTGCATCAAATTTACATTTAAAAAATGAGCAAAGCAGCCCAGTATTTGGCCGAGATGTTTTTTATCCCTGTTGTGCTGTGTGTAGGCTGCAGTTGTATTTCAGTGTCATCAGAGCTAAAATGACCCATCTCTTCAGAAGGTCTCACAAAGATCAGTATATTTGACCCTATGCATCAACCGGGCTCATAGGGATGCAAGGTGAACATCTGACACATGCCTGTTTTGTGTAACAGTAAATCGTAATGTTAGCCCAGCTGAGCTAAAATCGTGTCTGTTCCATTACAGATGTGATGGCTACATCCTCTCTCTGTCCTCTATTCTCAGTGCATTCTCAAAACAGATGCCACATTGTTCTGTGGGTAGTCAAATCACAACTCAAACTCAAGTCATTTTACATTGCATGAAGTGAATGGTTGCATCTAAATTATGCAATCACAAGTCAGGAACTTATGAAATCCACTGTTGCTTCATGAATCTTTGCATTCCTATTGAAACGATGTAGAAGACCAATTCGTCTGTTGCTCTATTAGTTTCTCTTTTACTGATTGTAATGGATAGAGGACAGGAGAACTTTAGGCAAGAAACTTCATTCATAAATGCGATTTATCCTACAGTATTAGCACGTAAGCTTGACTTTTGAGATCGTATTTAAAATGGTTAAACATGTACTTCTGGTTTTAACTTTCTAGCATTCAGGGCACATTGATTTCAGTTCCCAACAGACCGTTTTGAGCGTCATCTCATGTCAGTATTAGTGATTCCACATTAGTGGTAGTGCTTCATTTAAATGTTAAGTAGAACGCTCCTGAGGCATAGGGAGTTCTGAGAGGCACTGCATCCGGCTCAGATTCATAGCTGAAAATAGAAGGATGCAATGCATAACCTCGCAATTCATTAGCTGAATGTTCAGTGGACCTTTAATCCAGAGACCGGTTATCTCTCAGGTGGCCAGACGTATGGGATTTTCATCCTAGCTCTCAGCTAAATAAACATTTTAACTCTTTGGACAGAAAAGAACACTGTCTGGGTTTTTCTGGAATAAACAGTTTGCTGATTTTTCTCTGTGTGCCTGCTAACGTCTCACCTGAAAGGTCATGCAGCGTCATGCTGATTAATTATGATTGTTTAACTGAGTGCTAGAACATGGTAAAAGTTTGTATGTCTTCCAGTCATCCTAAGCTTTCCACCTGTCACTCTCTGGAGTTTGGACCCAACAGGACCTGCTAATATATAAGTGTATTATTATATATAAATGTGTGCTTATAAACGTCCTTATTTTTCCTGTAGAGTCCAAGAAAATGGCAGGTGGTCAGCTGAGTATACGACACTGGACGACAAAGCACGTCGCCAGGTGGTTGAAGGACGAGGGCTTCAGTGACTATGTGGACCTTCTGTGTAACCGTCACCGGCTGGACGGCACCAGCCTGCTCACCCTGACTGAGTATGACCTCCGCTCGCCGCCCTTGGAGCTCAAGGTACTGGGGGACATCAAGCGGCTGATGTTGTCGCTGCGCAAGCTGCAGAAGCAGAACGGGGACGTCCTGGAGGAGCTGGGCTTCTCCTTCGACGGGCACTCTCCGCAGGCCGTGGACTGGCTGTGCAACGGCGAGCCGGCGCGGGACTGCGACAGCGACGGCAGCCCCGGGGTGGGCGACTACCACCAGTACACCAACGGCAAGCACAAGCAGCATGCCCGACGCCTGGACCCCGAGTACTGGAAGACGGTCGTCAGCCTTGTCTACGTCGTCTTTGTCTTTGGCTTCACCTCCTTCGTCATGGTCATCGTGCATGAACGTGTCCCTGACATGCGCACCTACCCGCCCCTCCCAGACATCTTTCTGGACAGGTCAGTACCCTCGCAGAGTCTTTTATCAAACTTCTCGCCTAGGAATCCTTGGTATCGAGGCCCTCAGTCAGAAAAATCTGGGCCACTCTTTGCTCAAGGAGGACTTTCTGACGTAGACGCTCGCTCGGTGATTTTGTAAGACACAAGAGAGCCCCCCCCCCCGGCATGGAGGTAGAGCGTAAATTTGCAGACAGCTGAGCAGTATGCTAAACTTAATTAGTTCTTCGGTTATTTTAGATTGACGTTAGAGACCGACCGGATCCCAAAACGTCAGTCCGGTGACGATTCATTGTTGGTCCACCCATTGTTTTTGCGTTGGAGGGCCACTGGCTGTTGCATAAAAATTACCAGATTTCTTGACCTGTGAATAATGACGGAAGTACAGTTTTTTTTCTGTAAATCAGCCTTGGTAGCCAAAGAAATCTAGCTTTCTTGTTGCATGAGGAAGCCAACCTTACCATTGTAAGATATTGCAACACAATGGAATGTATTGGGTAAGAAAGAACCTCCTGGTTCAATTGTTAACTATGTGGAGAGAAAATTATCACTAATTATGCCATGACTAAAACAAGGTGTCTGATTGGATGTTGCTTTGAATGAATTGCCTTTTCACTCGATCAATAAATTAGATTGCTATACATACATACATACTTTATGGACCATAATGGCAACAATGAATTAAGTATAAATATGTAATTGATGTGTAACGTCAGTGCCATTCTTCTTTTGCTGCATTTATCAATTCTGACGTGCACAGATAAGTAAAGGGGAGAGTTCAGAAGCAAAGATTAGCTTCTGTAAACACGAGTGCGCCTGTTCAGCAAGTTTGCCGAGCTTTTACTGAGTCACAGTGTGGCTGTTGTGAAAATAAGGGGCAAAGTGACTGTCAGTGCTGATCTCCACAGCCCACAGCAAACTGTCCTCTTTGGTGATAGAGAAAAGTAGGTCATGGGACTTAATGCGGATATGGGTGGGGAGAGATTATTAAAAGGGATCTATGCTGAATCAAGAAAAGGACGGCAAGACAAGTAAAATTATAGTGAACTGAGGCTATCGGTTAGTTTTCCTTTAATCTTTTTTTTTTTTTTAAGAGGTCGCGAGTGGTACGGGGAGCTTTTTTCGCTTATGACGCACTTGTCCGTTCTGTCCACAGCGTGCCCAGGATCCCCTGGGCTTTCGCCATGGCTGAGACGTGCGGTGTGATTCTGTGCAACGTCTGGCTGCTGGTGCTGCTGCTTCACAAGCACAGGTAGCGCAGTGCGCGGCACTTCCCCTCGCCGGCCCCTCCGTGCTGGCAGAGTGGGCTTCTTTACAAATGCAGTCATGTGACTTTAAGAAGAAAAAAAAAAAAAACACTGTGACAGGCGAGTACTCAAAGCCTGGTTGTGTCCTTTTTTTTCTCAAATGCACACTTTCCTCAATACTGTTCTGGCACAAGATCGTAGGCCTTGGACGACGTGTGCACGCACGGCCACACCCGGTAATGAGCGTGCAAGCGGACTGGCCTTGGAGTGCAGTGTACGCGAGTGCCGAGAGCACGTGTGGGTAGTCCGCTAGCTGCTGTCGCTGTCTTTGGCCCAGGTCCATCCTGCTTCGCCGTATGTGCAGCCTCATGGGCACCGTGTTCATGCTGCGCTGCGTCACCATGTTCGTCACCTCCCTCTCCGTGCCGGGACAGCACCTGCAGTGCTCGGGAAAGGTGGGTCATGCAGCGAGAGGTACTCCAGCTTACCGCACGGGTCTCCGTGGCCTTAAAAACGTGCTGCCTGATCTCACGCTGACGGTTATTTTCAGTACTCGAATTCTCAAATTTTGGGGCACCGGATAATTGGAAAGGGGTCGCAAGGTAATTTTCTGAATATGCAAAAAATTAAAAACTATTGGGGTTTTTTTTTTCTTCTTTTGTGTATTGGTACCCCGTAACAATCTGTTAGCAGATCTAATCATCGGGGCTGCCCTCATCTCCCCACTTCTGTGGACTTTGGCTTTGTTGAGTAATCCTGATGTAGTGGATATGCTGTTATGGATCATTGGGTTGGTAAAGAAAGGGGTCACAAGACTTGACCAGTGTTTTTTACGGGGGTCTCCCAGACAAAGTAAACATTTCAGAACCACTGTGCTAATGAACAGACAGTACGTTTACAAGTTTAAGACTCATTTTTGGGGTGGTTTGACCGACACTGAAATGGGATCTTTGTTAAAACGATCGGCAAGGCCTTACCGATAGGCTGGTGTGGGCGATAAGGCCTGCCGTGTCTTTGCCTAAGGCCAGCATGCTAACGAAGGCTTCCTTGACAGGGCTACAGCGACATGTGGTCCAAGCTAAGCAGGGCGCTGGCCATCTGGAGCGGCTTTGGGATGACGCTCACGGGCGTGCATACCTGCGGAGACTACATGTTCAGCGGCCACACCGTCGTGCTCACCATGCTCAACTTCTTCGTCACGGAGTGTGAGTGCCGACAATGACGACACTCAGCCGGATGGCGCATTTAATTTTGCATAACCTAGCTGTCGCCATGGCGATAGATGCTGACGCTCAAGTAAAAGCCTGCAATGGTCGTACCCGCTTGCATGTTTGTTATGCAGATGTATGTTACACGTGCAAATTACGCAAATGCATTCAAGTGCAAAGGCCATAATGTAAGGAAAGTGCCATTGTTGCTGCAAGATGCCATTGAGCAGAACTACAGACAGATTAAGTTCATTTTTAAAGTCCGTCATGCAGTCAGCAATCTTACATTTTGTATAGAAGTGCAACATCACAGACAGCTGATTACACGTAACTGGTTTAACGTGGCACGAATTTGAGGTTCTACATTTCTAAACCGCTCTTTCTTTCCTGTAGATACCCCAAGGACGTGGAACTTCATACATACCTTATCCTGGGTTTTGAACTTGTTTGGGATTTTCTTCATTCTGGCTGCCCATGAACACTACTCCATTGATGTGTTCATAGCATTCTACATAACAACAAGACTGTTCCTGTACTACCATACGCTGGCCAACACGCGGGCCTACCAGCAGAGCCGCAGGGCACGGATCTGGTTCCCCATGTTCTCCTTCTTTGAGTGCAACGTCAATGGCCCTGTTCCCAATGAGTACTGCTGGCCTTTCTCCAAGCCTACCATCCTCAGGAGGCTGATTGGGTAGCACGCTCCGGCACTGTGGCACGCGTCCTGTGCTACTTGGCCGAAATCCCGGTGGCTGCATCCTGGGACTGGCAGAAGTTTGAGTGTCAACATTTTTTTTTTTCTTTGACCCTAGGGTTACTACAGCTGGTGCAGGTGTCAGAGTTCAAATTTACTCCGAAGCAGTTGGAGATCGGCTGGAATTTTGTAAAAGTTTTCTGGAACCCTATTTTATTGGAAGCAGAGAGAGGGAAAAAAAGGGAAACAGAAGTTTCAAAACAATGGAATATTTGTTTAACTCTTGTATATTTACTAGGGTTTTTAACACCATTAAGTCTTATGAAATGAAATACTAGCCTTTGAACTGTGAAAATACTGATGCACCAGTAAATAAAGAGCTAAATTGCTAGGGTTCGAGCATACTGAAATTTCACTGCATTTTCTCACCGATTCCTTTTCTATGAATGCTACTGGACATTCGACATTAATAACTACGTGGCTCTGCCAATGAAGATAACTTCCCCGGGGAGAGGCTGCTGTTTCGCTCCAGCTGAACATAAGCAGGTGAAAAAGATGACGTGTGAGAATCTTGTAACTTGACTTTGGGCCTTCAAGGTGGTAATGCAGGTGGGGGGAATGAGAACTCTACACGGAGGTGGAAAAAACAGAACCTATCCAGGCGTTTTCTAAATGCGGACATTAATTGATATGGTACGACAGATATAAAACTGGTTATGTCAGGTGACTTTGTCTCATAAATATGCTAAAATAGATCACATTGAATTAGATGGGAAATGCAATGCTAAGACGTTCTGCTTATCTTCATTGCATGGGGTTAGAACACTGTGTTAAAGGGCTAGGAGTCGTCTTGCTACCTGACTGTGGTGTCAAACTTATTCTAGCCAGAAAACAGCTGCATTCCTTCACATGTTGTGGTTTTGGCAGAGAATGCTGACCGAAATCTTCCATTATTTGCGGTGCATCGTTTTTACAGGTCACTATAGTGCGGATATTTTTGTCTTATTGTACAATTGCTCTGAGAAATTTTATTTTCTTGGTTAGAAGTATTTCTGAAAACGAATGCGCAGTTTATTATGGCTTTAATTCAAATGTAGCCAAACTAGTCAAAACAAAATAATCTTAAGATATGAATTGCCAATAAATTTTCAGTATTACGCATGCATTTTCTTTGAACAAAATTTTGTTGAATAATGTGGAATAATGTGTTTCTGTGTTTATGTTTACAGTTAACTGTTATGCAGATGCCTATTACTTGGATAATCTGTTAAAACAATATACAGATGGATAAGTTGCCATAAATTCCCTGATTTCTTGAAGATAGAACATTTCCCATCCTGTTTTTTCCTTTTGTTTTTTGGTGAGTGGTTGTATTTGAAGGTGGAAAAAATACTCCCACATACTGGAATGGAAGTTAAGAGTTTACAGAAATGCACAGTCTGTGTTTAGGTGTGCATTTGTTTACTTAGAACAATTATTTAAGATAGACTTTTGCATTTTGTCCTTGAAATTTTGTCATGAAAATGCAAAGAAGCAAAGAAAACAAAAAACAAACAAGGGGTGATGGGGTCCGTTGTAATTCCCCTTCCGTTTTTCCATTTTCATTCTCTGTTTTTTTTTTTGCCTTTTGCAGTTATGTTCTTTGCACATTATTTAAAACAGTTCTGGAGAATCAAGACAATGGAAAACCACCAGTGGTACTATTTGAGATGTACCTCACATAACCTTGGTGTTTTTTGAAGCACATTATTCTCCTTGATAATTAAGTTTAATATTACTGACATGTTTATTTACACACACACACACACACACACACACACACACACACACACATATATATATATATATATATATATATATATATATATATATATATATATATATATATATATATATATATATANATATATATATATATATATATATATATATATATATATATATATATATATATATATATATATATATATATATATATATAAACAATTGCCACAATGCTGCAAGAAAGTCCAAAAATAGACAAATTTGTGTGAAATTGTTCATAATCCTTACTTATGACTCCTCAGTTTGTCACTGAACTGTTTCAGAGTGTTGACCATTGGCTTTTACACATAGACAAACGCACATAAATATCTACATCTACCTGTTCCATTTTTGCACTGTAGTCTCCAAATCGATTGCTCTTAAAGTCCAGCACACTGCAAACAATACCTGCTGCTACTGAACCTGTAAGATAAATATTATCAGAAAATATATTCCTAAGAGAAGTCCAAAAATTATCACCTCTGAAATGGTTTCAGAATCATTTATCATCTTTATATGTAGCATATAATAGCTTTTTGTGTTTTCGGGGCTTTGCTATCCTTGCTAACGAAGGTGTCATAATTAGTGTAATTAATCACCAAACTGTTCTTTTTTGTAATTATTGAATTAATGATTTTTATTGTACATGTTCTGTGTATAACAAGTGTCTTTTCCTTTATTAAATGTTTATTTCAATATGTACCCAGCTTTTATTTCTAAAGACTTGCCCAAGACGCCGTACTGATATTTCATTTGCGTCAGAAACTTCTTGTGGATTAGATTAGGGATTTAGAAATAAGCATGAAGTTCATTTTGGCATTTACTAGGAATAGTTAGTTGTTTCATGTTTTAAATGTTTGTTGCTGTTTCTCATAACAGTACTGTAGGGATGTTCTCATTACTGTTTTTGAAATGCATGAAAGCCACCATGACATGGTTATGTGCAGGTTTATAAACAGAATTATTGATAGCCTACACACACAGAGTGTATGAATTGGCAAAGATTTAACCTGGATTTACAGTCTTTGGGCTCTGCTAATTCAAAGCATTAATTTAGAATCACATTATAAGTCATGATATCTTGACCAAAAATGTGATTGGATAATTGAGAATCTTTTCATATATTGAACACCTTGATCCACTGCACATTAACTGTATTTGGTGGAATAATATGGGATTTTTAGATATATGATATAGCCACCCCTAGTAGCACTAACTTGCACAAACATTTCCTGTTCATATTGACCAATCCTGCGCACAGCTTTGAAGGATTTTTATTGCTAGTGTGACTACACTATTCTAACAAAATTGAGTAGAAGCTTCCATTGATGCACACATAATCTGTTCATATTGTAAAGAAATTTAGCAAAGTTCAATGATACAAATACTATGCACAATATAAAATAGTTTCTTTGGTTTAAAGGAAAGCAGGACTCTAGTTACTGCACTTGATTTTAGATATAGCAAGACTGTACTGAACATGAGTGTTGCATTGTAACAAATAATGCAATGTAAATTGCCAAGCACTGGGAAATTAGTAGTACTGGGTAACAAAGTAGTGACCGAGGACAAAGTACTGGATAGAGTGACCTTCAACACACAAGAAATAGTTGGTCAAGACAAAGTGTATGGCAAAGTACTGGAAAAACAGGTGATTGAGAGGAGATATTGTACATGACATTCAAGAGAGCAATTCACATAGGGTCAGTAGTGTAAGAGAGATGTTTGTTCGGGTCAGGAGCCTTGATGTAGGCCAGAACCAGTCCTGCAAAATTCTTCATTGTTCTGGGGGTTAGTGTGACATAGCAGAAGTCTGGAGTTACAGCTACTGAGGACTTGAAGGACTGAAGTACTGGAAAGACTGTTGCTAACCTCAGGTAGACTACACACTGTCTTAGATGCCTCTCTGTGTACATTTATTCTTTGCTGAATTACTTAAGCTCAAAGAAGAGTTTGGACAAATTAATCTAATTTACATTTCAGTTAGGTTAACATAGGCACTGTTTTTCCACTTTAGCCAGTAGACAGCTTTACTGGTGAGTTTTGAACTGTTGTCATGGTACTAAGCTCCAGTTCATGGATGAATACCTTGACATCCTCCTGTAAGACTTTCTGATGCAGTTCAGGAGTCATTATTTACATCAGTGATGATTCCCAGGTCTCTTTCATGCCAGAAAGTTCCATGAAACATTCCTTCTACTAGCCATCTGGGCAGTGTTCAGTTAACTTGAGATGGTCATTCAACAATTAACACTCTTGTGCAGTGATCCCTCAGGGTGTATATTAAAAACACTGTCAATGTGCCTGAAGCTGTTATCTTGGAGTTCTATGGAACCTTATAAATATTTTATGCATAACTTACTGTTGCTTGAGGTCACATTGATCGGAACCGATGATTTAAGTTACCTCCACTTAATAGAGCTTAATGCTTTTTTTAATCAATGGATCAATGTGTTCAATTATTAAACATATATTTAACATGAAGTACGTTTTGCGTTTTAATTAAATTTTCTTCAATTTCCTTTTTTTAAAGATTACAAAAGGAAGACTGCAAGAAAGCAAATACACATAGTTAAATTATTGCTTAACATGAGGCACACCCTCATCACACCACTGACCAAGCCACCATTCCCCATTTGTTGATCATTATTTACGTAAACGGTGCTGCAATACATGTGTAACCTGCGCTATTCTCGTCAGCAGTCCCAGGCAAAAGTTTTCTAAAAGACGCCCGATATTTGCCCTTAAAGGGAGTTTCAGTTGGCTAACAACTTTATTAATTTAAACACGAATAATAATTATTAAGTAATATTTGTCCTATATTTTAGTAGCAAAAAACGATTTTTAACTGATCGTGTATAAAATAATTTTATTTTTAATTGGACAGGCGCTCAGAAGACAGCTTACCTTTTGGGTCCTATCGGTGAGGCTGTGAGGGTTTGTGTTGTACTGCGGTGTCTCCTTCACTTCGCCCTCCAGCCGGAGAGATTTGTCGTCACTGTGGGACGCCATAGTCAACCAAAAGAGTACAACTTTGCACTGCATTACATTTCCACTTCATCTTTTACCCGTAAGTCTCATCTAATACCTCTTGTTACGCAGGTGTCAAGCGAAGTACTTTGGGTTTGTTTGACTTCCGTGCGGACTTTTGCGTGAGTTTGGAGGAGGCCCGTGTAGTCCGTAGATTCCCGGTGAAGACAACGTGCTCCGGTACTGTCAGGCTGGTTCGGAGACTGACATTTGCAGTGTTTGTTTCTGTAATTTTAGTTTCGTGTTGCGCTACGTTGCTGCCTTGTTTATTTAAGTTATTTATTACGAACTATGGCAACTTTTTATTTTTTGTTTTATTATAAGTTTGGTGTAGTTGCCTTGAAGAGCGCTACCATTGTAGCATTTTGTTCGTAAAAGGAGATTCAATTTCATATAAGTAACCTTATTTCGTGTCAGGATTTTTTTGGAGTCTACTAGCTAAACCTTTAGTTCCCTTTTTACTTTAGATTTAGTATTAGTAGGGGGAGTGGTATTACTAGTATTAACTTTTTTTCGTTTGTGTTTTAACTCTCTGGTTATTGCAGTGTGTAGTATTTGGTTAGTCCCTTTTTAAAATTGGCCATAACCGTCAACCGCGCGGATATTAAAAATTACATTTCAGGTTTTCAAAGGATAGTGCAATATAGATGTTAACATGGCTGCCTCCTGTTAACCTTGCTGAGCTGAACTCGTAGTTATGAGGCACATGACAGTGGTTCACAGTCTTTTAACAATGAATTTTTCTTGCTTGATAAACTGAAACAAGGTTGTCCTGATTGTTAAAACCATGAAAAGCAGGGGTCTTGGTGCATTTATTCTGCAAAATGGTGTGTATATATATATATATATATATATATATATATATATATATATATATATATATATATATATATATATATATATATATATAGGTGGCAATTCACTTTAGCATTGTTGTAAAAGTATTTGAGTTAATGCGTGTCTGATGTAAGCCTTTTATTGAATGCGTTTGATCACTGGCTTTTTACTTAATGAAAAGGCAAATGTGCTGTTCATGAATCTATGTGCAAGTCAATTATTCATATATTGAACTAAAGGCTGCCGGATGGAATGTTTCCGATGGTCGCGGTTGAAAATCTTGTAGGTCATTCATACAGCACCAGGAATGTAGTAGCTTTTTCTGAATGGATACTTCCGCCTGAGGCGTAATGCCAGTGATGTGTGATTTGTGATTGCCTAACACAGCCACAAAACTCTCACTGAGGGTGCTTTCACACCTGCCTCATTTAGTTCGGTTGAATCGCACTAGAGTTCGTTTTCCTACTTGGTGCGGTTCGTTTGGGCAGGTGTGAATGTAACAATCGCAGCCGAGTGCGCACCAAAAGCGGACCAAAAAAGCGTACCGAGACCTCCTTGAAGAGGTGGTCTCGGTACGCTTTCAAACGAACACTGGAGCG